TTTGCAAGTTCAGTTTGTGATTGTCCTCCTACTTTTCAATAATTGTTCTTCATCTTTTCAATTTCAATTGTGCCTCTTCTATTCTACAGATGGGTATGTAAACAGAATTGTTCACCTGGCTAAAATATAATTTGGTGACACTTTGACTTAAGGATTTGTTTATTTCCTTTTTTTGATGAGCTTAAGAATTCTATATCTTGAGTGTTTGGTGGTTAGAAAATTTCTTATATCCAGGAGGAAAAAAAACTTTTTTTACAGATGGTCAGAAGAATTATATCACTGTGGACATCAAACAAATTCCCTTCAATTGAGCAGGGGGAAATGGTTGCAAGTATCAACGGTCATAAGAGCATCCACAGCTGTGCCGTAAATTTGTATTGTACAGAGTGTTGCACGGACCGTTTAGGGAAGTGTTTGAGGCATGGATTTTGACCAATGCACAGCAGTGGTTCCGTACAGTACGGCTTGAAGCACATTTGGTGAGGTGAGTTAAAGCACCCACTATGGTGGGAGTGTTTTATCATAAGTTTTGCATTTATGGTACTCAAAGCTGTGTATACTTTGCCGGGTATAGTTTTTTTTTCTTTTTTCACAACTACACACAACCAGGAAAAACTATGTTTCTGGCTCAGGAGTACATATTTTTGAGCTCCAAACAAAAGACATAATTTGTCCAGGCCGTGTCTAGCTGCAAAAAAACAAAAAAAAACTATACACAGTTAAATCTTTTCATTATCACAATGCTCGCTTTGTTGAAAAGACAGATTGACCACCTTTTGAAATCTTCAAATGACAATGAGGAACAGCAAGAATAGGACCAATTGGTCTTTGAGTTCTTGATCAATAGACCTCACACACCACCACCACCACCTCAGACTTGAATCACAATAGATTGAGATAGGCCTAACCGTGATCAGAAACTATATGATGACTACTTTGCACCTGACGCTAGATACAAATCAAAGTTTGAACGCAGATTCTGAATGAGTAAAGAGTTGTGTATAAGAATAATCAAAGATATACAAATATATGATTGATTCTGGATTCAAAGGCCAGATGCCTGTGGTGTGATGGGACTCATGGTTTATCAGAAGGTAGTTTGTGCATTGAAACAGCTCACCTTGGGAATTCCAGAGGATGTGACTGATGACTATGTTGGTATGGGGCAAACAACAGCAATATTAACACTGAAACTTTGTATGAAGCATATAAATGATATATATGGTCCAGATTACCTTCAACCAACAAATGCTGAGGAGCTCAATTGAATTACAAAGGAGTACAAACTATGTGGCTTACCAGGTTGTAAAGGAAGCCTCACTGGTATGCATTGGGCTTGAAAGAACTGTCCACTTACCTGGAGTGGACAGTACAAAGGCAAAGAACACACAGAAACTGTAGTTCTTGAAGCAGTTGCCTCCAAATATCTCACAGTCTGGCATGCATTCTTTGGAACTCCAGGTTCCCTTAACAATGTCAACATACTGAATTGTTCTTTCCTTTTCATTGACTTCCTCAAATGTGACTCTAGTCAACTTTTCTTACAATTTCATGATCTGACCCATGTTTTTTTAGGAACCAAAGATGAAGTTCACTTCACAGTCAACGGGAAACTCTACAAGCAAGGATACTACAGTACCTTGGTGATGGAATACAACCTGACTGGCCGACAACTGTCAAAGCACTGCAAGCTTGCCAATCAACCTTGGCAACACCTTTTGCTGAAGCTCAAGAAGGAGCAAGAAAAGACATTGAGCAATGCTTTGGAGTAATTCAAATTCAATTTGGGATAACTCGCATGCCATGTTTCATGTGGTATCTAGTCAACATGCAGTTGGCTATGATTGCTGCATAGTTTTACATAACATGATCATTCAAGATCAAGGTATACTTGATCCTATCATTGAAGCATACACTTCTGAAACAAGGCTCATTCCAAAATTACAAGCAAAACACTCTGATGGCATACCTTCAGGATACCCTCTGTCTGAGAGATTCCCAAGCTCATTCTGAGCTTCAGCACAATCTCACAATGGACATCTGGCTGAAGGAAGCAGGTCAATGAGGGTTTCTCTCAGTTCAAAAATGTGTTATACTGCATTTCTTTTAATTATACATTACTACATAAATGTCATACTGATACTTTATATCAATTTTCTTTGAGGATGAATAATTGTATTTTACATGATTATGAAAGACTGATAGTGATGATAATGATATGTAAATATAGCTATTGATATGGCTTAGCAACTTCTTCTTTCAAATCTTGTAATATCTTCTTTGAAATTTCATCAGGACAGTCTTCCTCCCTTGCGCAAGCTATTTCAAGATCCTTGCTTTCAAGCACACTTGACATTAAGTTATTCACAATTCTATTTGATGTTTTGCTAGCATCTGCTCGTCAACTTGCTACTGTAGTGAATGTGGCCATTGCTTCAATTCTTGCTTTATCATGACTCTCTTGCTTTGATTCAATCCACTGTGTCTTTGCCGCCTTGCCACCAATAGGTTGTTCTCTGTCATTGGGTTGAGCATATGTGTTAGCCAAAGATGATTCATTCTGAGTCGCATCTGGAGTTGGATTTGGAAGGATGTCAGAAGGGGTGGTGAAGGGGAATGATTGTGCTGGTTGATAAACCAAGTATCCCACTTGAGCTTGTACCAAAGTTTTTGCCAAGCCATGAGAAACTTGGAGGAGGTCTTCATCTTGGCTTGGTACACTTTCATTGCATCAACAATCCACATATCAGGTGATGTTCCCAATGGTGGATTGTGCTCCAAGCAAGCATAGATACCAGAGAACTTCTGGGTTGATGGATTCATTGTACACCATCTGAAAGGTAATTTAAACTTTGAATTTTGAGTCATTTGATAGATTCAAGATGATATACTACTCACTGATTCTTACCCATCTTGCCTGTTTGTTGTGAGTGTGAGTGATCATTGATATGAGCTGCAATATCTTCAAAAAAGGCCTTGCCTGACAAGTTATTAGAGTGTTTGGGTCAAGTGCAGCTGAAAACCCAAGATATTGCTAGCTGTTTGTGCTCAGCTTCAGTCCAATTGCCTCCTTCTTTGGTGGCTGTTGAAGTAGCAGGATCAAGCAGAATCAACATTCTGAATCAGTTGATAGTGGAGGGAAGATTTGAAGATTTGAATTTTCAAAGTTTCAAAGTTGAAGTGGATTGTTGAAGTTGTGAAGTGTTGAGGCTTCAAAGCGTCAAAGAAACCAAAGTTGATTGACCTGGTTGACCAATTCAATGTGTCAAGTTGTAAGACAGCACTTGATTTAGGCTTGCATAGAGTTGGACAACCCTGATGCATCATTCAACACATTCACAGGGAGTGCAAGCCTAAAGCAGGTCCATAGTGGACCTGTATATAAGTTAGTGTTAAAGTAACGCTAAATCACATTGTTAGAGCAACCATAGTGGGTGCTCTTATGGGTTATTGATCATCAAGGGAGATGATTTGCAGGGACTGGGTCGACAAAGTGGGAGTTTATAGGCAAAGCAAGGTACAGATGAATTTAGGGAGCAAGCCAAAACACAGTTCCTGTGAAGGGCGCCCCCGACGTTGGAGGCCTTCAAGAGTAAAAGGCAAGCCTTTGTACTTGCTGGAGCCCCCGACGTTGGGGGCCCTCACCACGGGCACTGTGAAATAGAACAAATTCATTCTACTTTGGCTTGCACAGAGGAAATTCCCTTTGCTAGGTGAAAATTCAGGGCATCAGCTGTGGATGTGTTTGCCCTAAATTTCCATACAACACAGTTTACCTTTACACCACACCACTATGGATGCTCTAAAGGATCATTGATCACTACACACTTAAACCATAAAACCCACATTACATATGCACAACAAGCAGATTAAATCGTTAGCTACCATGATGTTCATACAGGTCAGCTCAGTTTCCTGTTCATCTGAATAAGAATAAGCAAATCAAATGTGATCCTTGATGTAACTTTTCCCAGTTTGACAAGATCCTCCCAAAAATTACCTACATATGCCTCCAGATCTGAGCTACTCAAACAATACTCTGGAAACCATTTGACAGTAACAGTAACAGAAAAGGGTTTTACATGAATTTTAGTTAATGGAATTCTACCATCACTGAATGGAATTCTACCATCACTGTCAAGATTAAACACTCTCCCAATTGCAATATTTTTTTTCATTTTTTGCAATAATTAATTATTGTCATATAAAACCCAAAGAGATGAGCTTGATACTACAAATACTCAAGCTTGGAATCTTCAAAGGACCATTCTAAAAAGCTACTATTGAAAAACTCTGGATACAACCATCTTACAAGTACCCACCCCTTGGCTTCTCACCAAAATCAAGAGCTACAGGCTCACACAGAATTCCAATATTCTTCAGGCTTTTCCTTGTATCATTGGTGTCTCCCACCATGGATATATATATATATATAATCATCATTAATTATTTATTCAGTTTTAATTCAAACAACACATAACACAGTTTCACAAGATCACAAGATCACAAGATCAAACAACAAAAAGATCAAAACAACAAAAAAAAAGGTCACAAGATCAAAACAACAAGTATCCAAAAGAAGAAAAATGAGAAGACCAAAAAAGCAAAAATCAAAAAAAAAAAAAAACATAAGGAAACATTCAAAAAGGTCATTCAAGTATTATCTTTAATCTTCAACCAAACCAACACACCTAATTCCAACTCTAACTTCCAATTTCCAGAGATATAAAAATTTATAAACCAAGTCAATCAATTAACTTTTGTAGAGAAATAGATATGAAGATCACTATGACTATGAAATAAGAATATTATGACTATGACTATGAGATGAGTATGACTGTGAATAAGAAGATGACTATAACCAAGTAAAAAATGAATGATATAAAGAAAGAAAAAAATGAGATATATTTAAGAAGAATTCATTCAATGATAGAACAGAAACACTAAAACTAAAATGCTAAAACACACACCAACCCAGACACAAGTGAAAAAAAATCTCTTTAATTCGTACTAGCCATTCGTTTTCTAAAACTTAGTGAAATATTAGAAGCTGAAGGTCTTTTACTCTTCTTATCCGAACTTTGACGTGGATTGTGATTTTGATGTTGATGTGAATGTTGATTTTGATATGGATGTTGATGTAAATGTAAATTAGAACTCGATCGAATCTCTCGATTCCTTCTAATCATCTCAGGTGCGTCATCTTCATCTCCCATCTCCATTCCCATCTCCTCATCTTCTTCATCTTCAACTTTCACTTTATTACCTCCTCCTCCAAACGGATTCTTCCAAGACGATTTAGCGGTTTGACTTTCTTTTTGCTTATGATCTTCTGCACTCTTATATCTTCTTCTGCCCCACATCGAATTTGAATTATTTGGCATCATATCAGTTAAAACCTTTTCATTTTTGTCTTGACTTTTTATTGGTTCTTCTACAACTGTTACTTTAGATCGTTTTAAATTCCATGAAGATGAAGAGAAAATCTTATTGATAGGTGATAAATTTCCGTTTCCTTCGTTGGGTTTCTTCACATTTAAATTATTCGAATTTGAAAAACTAACACTAGGTGGATGTGGTCGTTGTGGTTGTAATTTTAGCTGCGATGGTTTTGATGGTAACGGTAATGATGGTGGTGATGATGCTTGTGCTGCTCTTAATGGTGAAGGTAAAGGTTGTCTAACTTCGCCCGATTCTTTTCCTCTCAATGATCTCATCTCTTCTTTTTCTTTCAATTTCCTTAACAACTCATCTGTAGCCATGGGCGAGGTTCGTGGTGAATATTTCAAAGCTTGTGGTGAAAGTGCTGCTAATGTTTTCTCTAGATCCTCTAAATCAGCTTGCATATCGGCTGTTGAACTTCTTTTATAAATCACTTGTGATGCACGTGGTACTAAACCAGAACTCAATGCTAAACCAGATGTATCAAATGTTCTAGAACTTCTGACGGTACGACCTGCCATCGCATGACTACTGGCTGTAGATATAGACGGTGCGGTAGATAACGCTTGACTTGGACTTCTCAATAATGGGTTGGGATGAGTCAGTGGCACAGGAGAAGTAAGAGTCCTAGATGAATTAGGCGATGAAGGTGCTGCTCGATTCTCCAAGTTGATAGGTGATGATAAAAGGCTAGAGGTCCTTACAGGGCTCCTCAATTTCAATTCAGCTGGAGCTGATGATAATGGTACTGAAATTGGTGCTAATGGTGGTCGTTGGAAAGATAATCGATAGTCTTTTTCTTTTAAAATCTTCACTACTTCGTCCACATCATGCGGTCCTTCTTCAGCTTTCTCTTCGAATTCCTCTGCAACCAATGTCAACTGTCCATAACTGAGACCTAAACCAGCTGATAGAGTTGTATCAAATGTTCCTCCTGTCTTCCCACTCTCAAACCCCGAGTCAAAGCTGGACCAAGTAGCTTCATCACTCGGGAACACTCCAGCTAACGGATCAAGATTCTTTTTAACGTTCGTATCCATCATTTGATGCGAGCCTGAAGATTCGTGTTCCTCAGAGCTGTGTGAAGGGTGGTGTCGGTCTTGATCATCGGGTAACTGCTCATAAGCTGCCTTGTCAGAGTGTTGTGAACCTTGAGAAGAGTAAGCCGATCGAGGTGATGTCTCATCTTCAGGTTGATCAGATTTTTCAGAAGTAGAAACTTCAGTCGTCTGCTCAAGCTCCGAGTCGTGTATCTGATTCTGAGGTGTGTCTTTAGGAGCACTTCGTATGGTAGCTTCACGATCATGTTGGGGAGTTCGCGTTCGAGTCCGTTCAACAGGGATTAAAGATGAAACTGGAAATGAAGGCCGAGCAGGGCTTGGCTCAGTCTTATAAAATGATGGTGTATCATATTCTTTAGTTGATGGGGCCACTTTAGCAAATTGAGAAGGGAAACTAGTCGAGCTGGCTGATGTGGGTGTAAGATTGCGTGGTTGTAGACTTGTAGCAGCATTCAACTTTGATTCCCTACCATTCTCACGTTTGGTGATCAGACTTGGTAAGTAAAGTGGAGCCCGTCCAGTGGTTTGAGGATGGCCAAAGGAATCTGACGTCTGAGATCTTTCTGGACGACCGAGAGAGTCATACAAAGGCGATGGTTGAGCTGATGAAGGGCGTGAAGATGATGGCAAATCATTGAAGGTAGCTCCCTCCAGCCATTGATCATACCAACGTCCATTCCCTCGACGACGATCAATGTCAAACTCAATCTTACCCACAATGACCCCCACACCCACCGGTCGATTGGCACGTTTTCTAAGCGAAGAAGAACTGAAATCAGACATCGAGTCCCCAAAACTGGCCCGATCTCTCATACCAAACAAATCTGACTGATTACGTTGATGATGATGTAGGGTACCGTAAGACCGACAAGGATACATTCTAGACGAATTTCGAGATGTCTGGTGATCCGGAGGCGCTGAGAAATGCGAGCCGTCGATGGATGGACGACTTGTGTAGGTGATAGGAGAATGTGGAACAGAGCTTTGATGAAATGAAGCCGATCGAAGGGATGCGTCCATTGAGGCTGAAGAATTTGAATCAATTGAGTTGGGACCTTTGGCGTGTCTACACAAATCTTGGTTATTGGTCATTGAACTACAGCTACAGGGGGCTGATAAGAAAAACCAAGAGTCAGAAGGTAATTGAACGATGAAGAGACGATCAGAGCAAACACACCAAGTTTCAAAGATAAATTGGAATGACCCGCTATTTGGTTCAGGCGCGTGAGGGTAGGTTTATGTGGAAGATGATTTGAAGCCAAACTAGTTTCGTTTGGAAGGCTAGATCCACGAGTGTTCTTATGCTGATTGGATACTGGGCACCGACGACGGGTGGGCATGCATATTGGATCTATATCTGTCTCTGGATCGCTCGCATCTTCAGCCGATTCGATTGGTTGAGAGGAAAATGAGTGTGAGTGTTGAGGTAATGAAAAAGAATCTGAGGGTGAATGAGATGGAAATCCATCCGAACGAGAACGAAATTGACACGTATTGTGAGAATTGAGAATCTCTTCTGAATTATCTTCATCAAATGATTGAGGTTGATTTCGATTTGAATTATGATGATGATGTTGATGTTGATGATGATGTTGATGTTGATCAGAATCTTGTGAAAGATGAAACTGCTGTTCAGCTAATAATCTTTCACGCGCGATCACATCAGCCTCATAGGCAGCCAGTTCTTCTTCTTCAAAGATGCTAGACCAAAGCATTTGCCAAGCATGTTCTCCAACTCGAGGTCCACCAGCCTGTTGAAGCATACAAGTCATAGGACATTAGATTGATCACGTGTCAGGATGTTTGAACAGATGAAACGTGACTAACAATGTGTTTACCCATTTCGCCTGAGAAAGCTGATCCTTCGATAAGATACATGACCATGCCACCCGTTGAAGGTAAACCATATTCGCGTGCGATTGCAGCTTTTTGAGAGCTCAAAGTAGGATATAGAGGAATGAGAGTTCCGCGACTGAAACCATAGAAGAAAAAGATTAGTCTACGAGTCAAATTCAAAAGTCGAGAAAAAAAAGAGGACTTACCGAAAAGCTTGAGCTGGACCATAACCAGTACAAGCTAAAGAAGTACGAGGATGATCAGAAGGTAAAGATTCAGGAGGAATGACCGTAAGTAAATATTTTGAAGGAGAGACTGAAGAATGATGTTGACGCGAGTTGATTGGAGAAGGAGAAGGAGAGATGGAAGTGAGATTTGAAGAATAAGGTAAAGAATTAAGACTTGGAGGATGATTAGGGTTAGAAGAATGTTGATATGGAAGCATGAGATTTGAAAGTGAATAAGAATTCAAACGATGATGGTGACGAAGTGAAGCAGAAGAATGTTTTTTTGAAGATGAACGAAGTGAATTGGAATGATGTATAGATGAATCAGATTGAGAATGAAGTTGATGAGCTGAAGTTGAATGATTATTGAAATGTAAACTGCTTCGATGGTTAAGATGATGAAGCTGCTGGTGCTGCTGCTGGTGATTAAATGAGCTCAGATCGATTGAGGAACGATGACTGAGGATTGAAGAACGATGACTGAGACTGGGAATCGAAGGTAATGGACAAGAAGGTGGTAAAGTAGATTGATTTAAAGATAATGATTTAGATTTAAAGTAATAATGATGATGATGTTGATGTTGAACGGTTCCTTCGCTTTGAAGTTCTCTTGCTTGATGGTTTAAGATCTCCTGTTGACCATCTTCCTCATTCGTCCACACTGACTCTTGATTCATTTTTCAATTTCTTCCTCAATCTAAACCTATTCTCTTTCGATCCTCTTCAACTTCAATTCTTCTCAATCTCAACCCTTCTGGAGTCTCAAGTCTGAAGTCTGAAGTCTGAAGTCTGAAGTCTGGATGGATTCTGTGGAGTCAGCAGTCTGGATTGGTTCAATCATCCAAAGTTGAGAGAACATATCAAAATCATCCGGAGCGTTTAACAGGATGGAGACTTTAGAAGACATTTCAAATCCACCCTCGCAATGTGAATGTACTACAGAGTACTACATACTAGCAGTGGATGCTTTTTTTCTATACACATCCAATTTGAATAAGCTGGTTTCTTCCATCTTCTTTTGTAATTTGATTGTACAACTACGCATAAACTTCAAATCTTACATGTCATCCCACTAATCAAAGCTTATTCTACAGGTATAATTTGAATTGATTTTATCCTTCAAGCCGCTTCAACAGGCTTCAACTTGGTAGACAATTAAAATTCAAAAACAAGTTCAAACTTTTTCAGAAAATACTTCAAGAATCATGAAGGACTTCTAACTTAACTAAGTCCCTCGATGCTGAGACAGCTGTCAATCAACGAGTTGAATCAGCATGTCTCAGCATGAGGGACTTACATCTAAACTCAGCTTTTTGGCCTGAGGGGTAAGAAATCCTTTGCAGAGGAAATCTTGTTTTTCTCATTTCCGTGAGCTCACCGAGGAACATTTTACCGCGCTTCATGGGCATATGCGCTGGCTCTCGCTGCATAATGTACAACTTGATTGATTGAAATTCCTCGGTTGTTCACCGAGCTACATATCTTTTGATTTTGTCATTTTTGTATGTAGCTCACTTGTAGCTCACTTGTAGCTTGGTGTTTCATCGAAATAAGTCCTCGACTTAGCAGAGCTACATGTGAACTACAGGTGAAAATCACAAAATAGTAACTTATGTAGCTCAGCAAGCAACCGAGGAATCTCAATGATTTCACTTGTACATTTTGTAGAGGAGGTCGGCGCATAACCCCATGAAGCGCGGTAAAAAGATCCCCGGTGAGCTCACGGAAAAGGACAAAGAAAGATTTCCTCTGCAAGGAAATCCTTACCTCTCAGGCCAAAAACCGGACATTAGATGTAAGTCCATCATGCGGAGACATGCTGATTCAACTCGTGGACTGACAGCTGTCTCAGCATCGAGGGGACTTAGTTAAGTTAGGAAGGACTTTTATTGTTCAAGGATCTCAAGCGCATGGATTCAATTATTAAGTTTATTTGAAATTCATTTAAGACCATCTACAAAGTCTATACTAAAAAATTAATAGCCATTTCACTCAGAAGGAAGCAATTTCCCAGAATCTCGAAGGGCTGTAGAACCAGCTATAGAGCTGCTCTCAAAAATTAAACTTAAACTGCGACCGGAGCACAGTCTGGGAATGAGCCCGGCGCTTTGGGATGTAAATGATTTTAATTTACCTTTTGCACGTCCCCTTCATTTTACCCAATCGGTTAACTGTGATATATACCCCAGTTTGAAATCACAAATTGAGATATTCTTGAATTAAATGAAGTTCTCGCGTACAAGAGCAAACGCAGGAATGTCCCAGCGCGGACATGAGCAAAATCCCGGACATCCGCGCATTGTCGGATGTCGGAAAGTGATTAACAACTCCTTGACAAATTGAAAGCATCTCGCGTACTTTGAAGTGGCAGGAAAATATCATGCGACACAAACAGAAAGACAAAGAAAACAGAATGATTTGTACGATTTTACAACGCGAAAAAGACAAAACAGTAAAGAGATCTTACTAACATGTGCATTTTTGATGAATGCTCTAGTGTTGGCTTGGTAGTGATGATGACATTGTTTTGGTGGTATGTGATTGATGCTGGTGGGGTTTTGATATGATAATTGTCAAAGAAAAATTTAAAAAAAAATCGGCACAGATAGGATAAGGATATGTTTTGTTATTGGGATTGATGTAGGATGGTTGAAGGGATATTATAATCCGAGCAATGTAAAGGAGTTTGGTGAAGTGGGAGAAGTGACAACGGTTAAAAAGTCCCATGAAGAAAGATTGAGCAAAAGATTGCAACAGTGGAATCAACTTCAAAGCCCTCTCTGCGCGGCCGCGTCCGCGCCCTCGCAGAGGATATGAGAAGTGTGTTTGGAGTTGAAGAAAGAGTCAAGAACAAAAATTAGAATCACCTTTCAGCCTTGCAATTGCATGTATGCGCTCCTAAACAATTTCTGGCTTGAAAACCAAGAGACCCACCTATGATCCTGAGATGTCACAGGAAAATGGTATCAGTCTGGATTTCAATGCTGGTGTTTTTTTCACCTTTAAGAAAAGAAAAGCACAATGAAGATGATAAGCAAAAAGGGTGCACTGGTGATGGACCTTAACCATTGGTGTTTGATCCAATGGTAGTTTACAACATCAAACTTGCGAAGCTGATGCAAGGACAAACGTCGTGTTTGTCAAAGATCCATGTGTCTCCCTGTGTTGTTTTTTGCGGGAACCACATGCTGCAGCTAACCACACTACCAAGCAAGACAAGGCTTGGGTGCTTAATTGCGAGTTGGGCGGGTAGAAGCATGAGAGAACAGGCCATCTGTGATGATGACCGGTTGGTTCTTCTGGGCCAAGAGGAAGCGCAGGATCAGGAATGCTTCAAGTAAGCAAATGTTGTGTGAGGTGAAAGAAGTGTCATCCAGAAATGGGGATGTCAACCAATAAATTGCTCTGCATTTTTGAAAAAAAACAAAATCCTCTTTTGTTCTTGCCTGTTCCAAAATAAGATTGAGCAGGCAGGTTTTTGTATTTAAAGTGCAATTGAATGAGTATTCTGCCGGGCTAATTACATACCTTTTGCATATCCGTCTTCTGAAGGCTGGTCATAGTTCCTTGCAGTCTTCTGGTTTTATTCCGGGGTATATAATGAGAATTCAGCAATAGTGGGGGTTATATATTCTTCTAGTATTGAAGTTTGCATCTTGGCCTGCACATAGAGAACCACAAGTCACTCAATTGGTAAACAACATGAAATTGTGAAGCATGAAAAACATACCCAGGCTTTTTGTTCGGGAATCTATACACAAATGTCTGTTGGAGTATTGTGAAATGTACTCAGATATACCGATTCCATCAATGAAAGCAAACTACAAGTTCATGGTCCGTGACACCTTCACCATTTGCTCTCAACTTCACTCAACCACATCTGATTTGTCACATAAATACCTCTACATTTGGTTCTGAACGAATTGAATTGATCAACAGCTTTTATACAACAATAACAAACTGGTATTTTGTTTGTCCTTGGTGCTTTGTGGCTGGAAGGTTCTGTGCTTGGGCAATCTGATTCTCCTTAAGTGGTGATCATTGTATATTGTTAACTCGGTGTTGCTCTGACTTGTTGCTGTGGGATAGACAGATCCTAGTTGGAATGAATTTCCAAGGCAATAGGTCGTACACACCTACTTGGGGCATCTTATTAGACTGGGCAGGCTGTGTTGCAGAGTGCAAAAGTGTAGCCACTCTCAACTTACACAACCCTACAAATCCTCTCTAGTTTTTGATTTCTTTTGGTTTCCTATGGAAGGAGACAATATTAAGGTGCCTAGATCAAGTGTTGATATTATGTGATGAAGGATATTGTCTTGCAAAAGGAATTCTGAAATTCACATCTCCTCAGGTATGGATATCATCAACGTCCTCACTTTACTCCAAAGGAGTACTATACACCTTGAAAAATTTCCAAGGTAATATATAGTTGAAGTTATTCATATGTCAGCTAAGGAAATCAAGTCCTTGTCATAATGCTATGTTTTATTTGTCATCATTAGTTTTTGTTTAAAAACATATCATCATGGCCTCTTCTTGATCTGAAACAAGGTAGTGGATTCTAGTGTATAGCAGATTCAAGTATGAAGCTTCTACCTTACTGCTTGATTTCAAACATAGGTATATATGTTTTTATGATATGCTCAGTTTTGTTTTATGATATGCAATTGAAAATATATATCTCATTCTTTTTCTTCTTTATAAACTTTATTTCTTTGGCATATTTTTGATTGACAATCACAGAAATCTAGAATTGTTGTCAAGGTTTTTGTTTGTTTTGTTTGTTTTGTTCTTTTTTTGTTTGTTATTTATCAAAAAACAAATCAAAACTTTCAATAAGTCTTTTCTGATACAAGATAAATTTCAGTTTTTTTTAATTTTTACTCTGGATCACATTGGTTGTAAAAGATTTAATCTGTTCAATAAGACTTGGAAACCTTTCTTAACTTTTGATCTTCTATTGAAGTATGTATTTAATTGAAAAGAAAGATAAATTATAAAATGATACTCTTCATAAGATTCCATCATTTAGTTTACATGTCAAACAATTTTGATGAAAAGAAAGCTCAAGAGGAATCAAGTTGAGAATCCATGATATGTATCTCTTTCATAATCCAAATTTTCTAACCTGACCAATGATCAAAATCTTCAAAGTGTTTATATATATGGAGTACTTAAATAAACCCAAAGAATACAAAGATGAAAAGAACAAAAAGATGATATGTTTTATTCATTCCATTCTACAAGCACCTGTTTTGATTTATTATTTTCTTTTTTTTTCTGATTTTGAAAGAATAATTAAATTTTCCAAGCATCAATGAAGAATGTAAGCGAATCATCAAAATTAAATGATGTTAAATTTTGTTGTGATCCAAATGTACTCAAGATCAAACTTTTTGAAAATTGTTTACCATTTTCAAATTCAACAGTCTAAAAAAACAATCCAAAACAAAAACAAATCAGAATTCAACTCTCAAGAAACAGAAATAATATATATACGGAAAAAAAAACTTACTAATCTTCCTAAACGTTGATCATTATTATGTGAAGGTAAAGAACTTTGAGTAATAAACACACTTGAATTCTTTCCATTCAATAACATCCAAATAAAAAATGAAGGCAAAGGAGGTGATGAGACTGAAGAAGATGATGAATTTGACCATTGTGAAATCGAATTAGAGATTCCTCCTAAGATTGTACCATTTAAACTTTGACCTGTGATGGTTCCATTTAAAACATTACGAACTAAGAAGAAGAAGAAGAGGTAGAAAAAGTAAGATTTAGAATTCGGGTTGAGCTTTTGTAAACGCGTCGTGAATGAAGTCAAAGAAGATGATTTGATGAAAGAAGACATTTTACTAACCTGATTTAATGGTTTGGTTCTCATTGCTTGGATTCAAAGCAGGAGACAAAGTAAGTTGAATTGTAAATAGACGACTCGCATTCAAGAAATTAGAACTTGAAGGAGAAGTAATTTCATCTGTGATATTAGATGAAACGATAGGTAGTATAGTTGGGTCTGTTGTTACATTGGTTGAAGTATTATTGGATTCAGTGAGAGTGGTATTGGTGAATGATGTGTTGGACAAGATTGGTGTTACATCGAATGATCTTGGGAGGTTGGTAGCGGAAAGGCATATCAAGCTGATAAAGTAGAAAAAGAGAACCGAAACTCTAGAACTCTTCGAAATCATTGTATCCTGATGGTTTGGTTTGATTTGAGTGGGATTCTTTGATGATACGAGGGAAGAGATGAGGTGGTCTGATGTTTGGTATGAAGTGGATTGATCTATCTCAAGGATGAGAGATGATGAGTTGAGGTTCTTAAAAGCCTTCAAGCATCAAACTCATCAGTTGAACTTTCTCCATTTCTTGTCAAGACCGAGTGATCTGGCAGAAATTTACCTTTAAAAGAAATCATGATTCGATCAATTCCAAAACAATTCTACTAGAAAAGGATAACCAAGCAATCTTTCTTTTGTTGATTTCTTTTTGTCAACCCGGATGGAGTTTCATATAAACAGATTCAATCTTTCTCCAAAGAGTCAAGTCAAGAATAATTTCCAAAACGATTTTCTCATTCTTCAAAAACAACAAAGAAAACATTTCGTTTTCTAATTTTCTACGTCAACTTCTTACTTTTTTCCGATTTGCAAAGAGACGATCCAAAATCCTTTTCACTTCGGACAAAATTGAGTAGCACATTCACAAACATCTTATCATTGATTAAAATGATTCATTTCCCAAAAAGAAATCTGCAACCATGCCATAGCATCAGTTTTTCTTGACTAAATCAGGCCAACAAATTCAAAGTCGTAATTGGAAGTCGGATTCACTGATTCAAAACTGGAATTAGTGATGAGTTTCTTCACACAGCTTGAGTTCTGTGATATAGTGCTTCTAGGTCACCTTGCTACGAAAACGGTTTGCAATCTATTGGATATTGATGTGATCAGAAGCATCAAAGGGAGAAGGTCAAGAAAGCGTTTGAAAGATATGTGCAGGCGACTCTGCAGCCACTTTGATCAAATTGGTTTTCATGACGTCGAGATCCAGAGCAGATTGTTTCAACTCGGGATAAAGCTCATTTGTTTTTTCAAACATGATGAGAATCGCTGTGCGGTCGGTCAATCTTGAAGACAACCATCTCTGCAGAATGAAAATGCGTCAATACATAACAAATGATCGCCGAAATGAGGGAAGAAGGAATTCATATTCAAGGCAAACTTGAATACAAACAACTGATCAGAAATCTTTCCTTTACGCTATATATCTTGATCAAATCCATACATTTCATATTCAAATTTTTATGAATGATGATCTCCAACCACAAAAAAGCCCATTAAACTTTATTTATAATTAACTCAAAACAATTCTTACAAAATACCCATCATCATCATCATCATAAAAAAACAAGTCAAAAAAATAAAAAATATCTTTTAAAAAGAAATTAAACAATCTTAAAACAAATTTCATGAAGATGTATCAATGAATAAAGATTAAAGAATGAAAGAATGAAGCAAACAAAAACTTAACCAAATCGATTGTAATTGAAGGTTTATGTTATTTTTTTTGCAAAGAGAAAGAGATAGGGAAAAAATCAAACAAGAAAAGATAAAGATAAGTAGTATACCAAATTAAAGATCACCTTTCTGTCTCTCTCTCGATCATCACCATCAAAATATATCATAAATTCTAAAAAAACCAAAAAAATAAGATACCACAAACTTATCTGCAAGGATATTTGAAACTTTCTTCTTTTTCTTCTTCTTCTTCAAAAAACAAAACCACTTCACTCAAAACTTCTTTCTTGTTTGTTTTCCAAGAAAACCTTTTCTACCTGTCATTCCTTGATCCATTTCGATTCTCTAATTCTCCTTCCCAACGACATTGATAATGAGTGACTTCACCACTAGAACCGAAACAAAAAGCAAAAACAGTGAATCTGAAGTCTCAGATTACATCAATTGATCATTACTCACAAGGGTGAATGAACTGCAATCACACTATTCCCAATTCTTTTTCCACACTTCATACACCTATTCATTCCCCACCAAACCAAAAAACACACCAATCAATTAACCTTTCCATATGAGAAAAAATCAAGAAATCTTCTTACAATCTTTTCTCATCCATTTTAATTCTTCTCTGTTCAACTCCTAACCCAATCACCTTCAAACTTTGATTCTCATTCTCCAAACACTCTTTTTCCAATCGAATCTCACGTTTAGTTTGATTTAATTGATTTAATGATTTTTTAAAAAACGATTGTAATTCGATCAAATCGATCCAATTCGGTAACAAATCTAAAACTTCTTCTATCGATTTAATCAAATGTCCTTCTTCTTTTAATAACTTTAAGGATGATTTCAATCGGATCTCATGATTTAATATCGGTCTTTCTAAATTACCTTTGGATGAATCTGTTCTTGATTGAGCTTGAGATTGAGATGCGATCACTGGTACTGGTGGTGGTCTTAGGTAAATCTTTAATAACATTAAATAAATCTTTTCTCCAATCAATTCAGGGTTTTCTGAATAAATCCGTTTACAATACCTAAGTAAAACCAAAATCCAAAACAACAAATCAAATTAATCCAAAATATCAATCCTTTGTTTTCCTGTTGTGTTTTCTGTTTTTTTTTTGGTTTTTGAGAAAAAGAAACACTCAACTCTTCTGCCAATTTAATATTTCCTAATTTATTAATATAGATTCCTAAAGCCGTATCATGTTGTCCAATCTTACCTAACGTCAAGGCTCTTGCTTCAAACATTTCATCTAATGGTAATCTACCTAAGACCCAATTAGCAGAATAAAATTTAGATTTAATTAAATGATTTAATAAACTTTGATAAATCTTTTGTGAACTTTCTTTTCTTTCCATTAATTCATTTTCATATTTTCACCAAATCAAAATAACAATAATCAAGATTCACCATTGGATTTGATTAAAATTCACAATTGGATTTGATTAAAAGTGTAAATTCGAAAGAAAAATTCAAAAGTATCAGTTCTTCTTCTTTCCAACAAAAAACACCACCAAGAAGAAACTTCATCCCACAAACCTTCTTGACCTAAACCCTTTAATTTCCTAAACTCATTAATATACAAATGAATCAATTTCTCATGAATCTCAATCGATTCCAAGCATAATTCATACACCAAAAACTCCACATAAACTCTACAAATCTTAAAATCTTCTGATTCTAAAAACTTAATGACTTCTTTTTTAGGTAAACTTTCAACCGTACTTAAATCTTCAGTAAAGATTTCTAATGATTTTTTAATTAATCGATCATCTCTTGTGGTTGTGCTTGTAGATGTTTTAATCATTGAAAAAATCCATTTTGATGTATTAAAGATTAATGATAAATGATCGGATCCAAGTTTTTGTAAATATCGAATCGTCGGGTCGATTCTTTCTTCTAAATCTTCTTCACTTTCTCCCATTCTAGAAAAATCAATCAATCAATCAAACCATTCAATTTCGTGACTCTGCGATTCAAAGAAATCAACATGGATTCATCATCATCATGACTTACGTTTTCAATAACCTAAGTGCTCGATCATGTTGTTTTTTACCATGATAAAGATCTAAAAGTTCATAATACCGCTACACCGAGTTTCCCAAAAACCCCATTCATTCAAAAAATCAAAAATCAAAAACCAAAAAAGCATCATCATCAAAATCGTTGATTCTATATCTCTCTGTTTTTCGAACTTTATGAAAAAAAATCCAAATCACCTTTGCATCCAACAATAAACTTTCGACTTCATCTACTTCACACCAATTAGGTAATCTACATAACGGACCTAACATCGTAGGTTTGATAGCTAAATAACACTTAAACAAACTCGTATCAATAATCTTAGCAATCTGAACTAACTCTTCAACATCACTGATCTCATGAATCGCAAGATCCTTTAATTTCAATAAATCTTCAGATGAACGTAAGTTAATGGATTTGAGTGAGTCTAAAGCCTTTTCCGAAAGATCGATAGATGAGCTTTGGTTTGAGAAGGCTTTGTTGACGTGTTGACGACGATCAGTTAAGTATCGGATTAAAACATCAATCGATTCTTTGAAATCGGATTCGTCTTGAAGGACTAGAACCCATTGGGAAATCAATTCAACTTTTTCATCCTTTTGGATTCTTGAGAAATCACTTACTTTTCAGTTTGGATTTTTGAAGACTTAGATCTGAAGCTTTAGCTTTCAAAGAATGAAGAGCTTGTGATCTAAAAGATTTGATTGAACCACTTTCATCATTATCATTATCATCAATAACTTTCTGTTGAATGATCTTAGAATTAATTAAACTTGATGGTTTAGAAACTTGAGTAGATGAATCGATCAAATCTGAAGCATGATCCTTTAAATCAATCTTCATCTTCCGACCACCAAACAAAGATTCCCAAACTTCTTTTGATCTGTAAAGTTTTCCTGAAATCCTTTCGTCATACAGTGAAACCACTTTGGCTGGATTAATATTTAGCTTGATGAATTCATCGATTGATTGATTATAATTTCGGTTTTTAAATTCAAGTAAAGCACATAATCCATTCAATCTTTTGATTAAGATTTCCTATTATATGAATGCGAAAAAAAAGAACTAGTCAAGGGTAGGTATAAGAAATTATGTCAAACTAAATTCAATAGAAGAGACTCACTCGATTAGGTAAAACCGAGCTTTCTAAACGTTCGATCAAGGCTAATGATTCTGAATACTCACCTGCTTGGATGAACTGATTGATTTGTTCTGACCAAGAAACCATGATAAAAACCTCAAGACTATAATTTATTTTCTGATCAGTTTCATTCAATCTAGGTGAAACACAAACAACCGGACCATGATGAGCAGAAGAGACGGTCAGAAGTTTAGGAACTAATGATTCTTCATTCGGTCCAGTTTGTTTTTTCCGAGGAGAGTTGTCCATAGGTTGAAGATGTTTGGTTGGATCGAGAGATGAGAGTGGAATGGTTTGAACATGTGTTAGTGTAGGAATCGAATGAATCATCAAACTTGATCCTACATTCAAATTAGATGTTGGAGTAGGTAATAAAGAAATCAAATAGGGTGATTGGACCATCGTCTCGATGGGTGAAACTGGATAATTGATGGTCGAAGGATTAGGTAGGCTCCTACTAAGTTTTCCTTCTGGATTCATAAATGTTGCTAATTGATCACGAATCCCAATCACTTCATTCGTAGGTGGCCCCACACTCAGAACCGAATTCTTTGATAACTTGTTTGATCCAGATAAAGCAAGAGATGCAAGTCCAGTAGTTTTGAATAACCCACTCACCAAACCTCCTGAATGGTTTGTGGTGGTGGTGGTTGGTCCTACTGGATTAGAACCAAGAGAAGTATTCTGGGTAGTATTAGGATCGGTTCGAGGAGTTTGAATTGGAAGTGGAAATGGATCTGAGATTTGATGATTGATTTGAATTAAAGCTTCAGTTGCATTGATTTCGAGTTTGATTTGAGCATATTCACCCGTACTATAGCCTATAAAGATTTGAAGTGAATTAGAAAATGTCACAGATCTTGCTTGATGAGGGATTTGAATTTCTTTAGGTGTGATCCATTGAGCATCTTTCCAAGCGAATAAGATCAATCGACGTTTACAAGGAACAGCAACTAGGGTTAGAATCACAGGTACGCCAGAATTGAGATCAGAAGAGTTGAGGTCTTGAGATTCTGGATTCTTGATCTCTTCTTCTCGGTCTAAAAGAAAACCTTTATGATCTTGACGTAGGATTGAAGTTTTCAAACTCATAAGAGTAGCTTGAGATTTAGTCCATTGATGAGTATTTGATAAAAGTTGATAAGTTTTTATGTCATGTAAGAACAGATCACCCGAGATTAGAGTGATGATCGAATTGATTTCTTTGATTGTATTTATGGAATCTATTGATGGATTGATTGAACTGATGATTTTGCTTTTGTTAGGTGTTGTGATTGGATTTGAAGTAAAGTGATGGATGGTTTCTATTAGCTTGAATTCAATGGGTCTTGGATTACTTTTGATGGATTGTGAGTCCGATTCTGGATCTAGTTTTGATGATGGTTCTGAATCAGATGGTGATTCTAGTTCTGGTTCTGATGATGGTTCTGATGCTGATGTTGAATGATAGATTGAATTGATTGAGATTGAATAAATAAACAAGTTCCCATTGAGAGTTCCAATGTAAAGTTGAAGTTGATCGAAATAGATTGAAGTAGGTGTTCCAGTGATGATTAAGTTTGATTTGATTTGATTGAATACTTCGATTTCCATTCTACTCTTTAGCTTTCTTCCTGATGCTGAGCTGGTCGAGATCTGTCGAGTTGGTTTGTTGAGGATGATGATGACATAATCTTTTGAGAGTCAATCGAAACTTGTAACCCATACTCACTATAAGCATTCATCAAACTCAATTTAAGCATATCTCAATCTCACTTTCAACCTTCCACGACTCAGAACGTCAACTTCAACTCATTCTCATCCATCAAATTCCTCAATCTCATCATATTCACAAATTCACAAATTCAGAACTTCAGAACTTCAAAATGTTTGAACAAGAAATAGCAACAGTAAAGCGATTAGGAGTCAGATATGTAACTTCATTTAACTCAAACTCCCTTAAAAAATATCAACTCTGACCATTTCATCTCTCAACAGATCTTACTTCAAGCTCTCAATTTTGCATCAGTCATCTCAACAGCCCTCATGATTTGGAAATCATTAGCCATCACTCTCAACACAGAATCACCCGTCGTCGTCGTCTTATCAGGATCAATGGAACCTGGATTCTATCGTGGCGATTTATTATTCTTATCATTACCTATCCATCGAAACTTAAGTATTGGTGAAATCCCAGTCTTTAATGTACCTGATGGTAAAATTCCAATCGTACATAGGTTAATTGAAAATCATGATGAACCTATTCACTCGAAATCTAACATTCAAGATCGTTGGATGTTAACAAAAGGTGATAATAATGGGGAAAATGATGTAGGACTTTATAATGGTTTAAAGTATCTTAAACGTTCAAATCTGATTGGAAAAGTTAATGGATATGTTCCTTATGTGGGTTATGTAACGATTGTGATGGTCAGTTCCTTTTGTCTTCTTTTTATTTATAATCAATCTTCAAATTGATCCCAATCAATCTTGAAATTGATCTCTTTTTTTTGGTTTTGGATTTTTAGAATGATTATCCGAAAGTGAAATACGCATTATTAGCAGTCTTAGGTCTAACAATTCTATTTTCAAGAGAATAATTCCTTCATTCAATAGATTCCATGTTTTTGTTTTCTTCTTCTTTGGCATAACTATGAAAAAAAACAATATATACGCAAAAAACTCTTGAGAAAAATGAGAAAAGTTTTGGGTTTCTTTTTTTTTGGATATTATCGTATTCGAGTCAATGTTTTCTTCTACAAAGGAGGTCAAGGAAAAAAACAAACTTTAGAATCCATTGTTTTGTTGAAAGCATTGTTTTTGTAGTATCTTGATTGCATAGAAAAAAAACTCTAGTAGATCTTAAGAGTGTTGTTTGAGCGGTTTTTGCAAGGGTTTAGATCTTATGATGGATCAAAATGATCACACAAGCAAGTCGAGTATCACTTTGTGATCTTACAAAGTAGTTTATCGAGATTTTGGATTTGATAAAAATCACATTGACTAAATTTACCATCATCTACATCATGAATTTAACCACTGCCCAATCTATTCTCTTTCACCTGTTTTCTTTTTCTGATTCCTTCTTCTAATGATAAACAACATTCAAGATGATCAAATTGAAGTACAAGTTGAACCAACCAAATGATGTTCAATGTAAATTTCAATTGATAAAGTATTAAAAAATAAAAATGTTCTTATGTACAACAAACACTTTCAATCCGACTTACAAAACATCATTAGTTCCAAAATCACAGACAATCTTGTTGGATCCGTGATCCATTCTGTGCTTTCTGTTCGAATATATTGTTTATTTTGGTAGTGCATATAATTGTCATTCTGGTTTGTCTAGATACTCAACCTTACAAACTGTTCCTCACACCACATTTACTTGGAAACCCATACTTGGAATGGCTCACTTGATTGAATCACTCTCCTAGATAAATGAATCAGATCTTCGTCTTGAATTCTAAAGTGCACGACTTGATATTCTTCTTTGAAATTAAGCCTTTGAAAAAAACTTGGCAAAAGTAAGTGTACCCTACATGTTTCTTGGCAATAGTGAGATCTTACAAAACCCTACTTGTGAGATCAAAAGTGGTACAGGTCCTCAAATTGGTTATCATGAAAACCAATACAACCCTCAATAATTGAAAAGCTTGACCACCAGTGTGATTTCATATCTGATAACAAGATATCAGATCATCTTATCATTTCTAAACAATGGCTCCACAGACAATTGACTTATATTTGAAAGGATCAACATAATTTCAGTAAAAAAATTACAAAAACTCCAAAAAATCTAATAAACAAGTCTTATTTCCCCATGCCCTCAATCTGAACCCCAAAATCTGTGCATGCATTGTAAGCTTGAATAAAACTCAAAGGGTAAGGTTTTCAGATCTAATTGTGGTTCATCATCAGTCACAATTCATAATTAAATGTACACTGTCACAAATGCACTGGCTGAGTCAAAGTGGTCTTCTTTCTTTCTGTCTCCCATCTTGAATGAGTACCAAGCCTGGGCTAGGACATGCTTGATATTCTTGTATCACCAAATTGGTGTTGAAGTCAAACAGGTGATTTGAAAACAACACACTCTTGAGCTCATACATTCTTCAGGACCACACAGTCACACTCTTTAAGCTCTTGACAAAAATGCCATCAAGGCTGTTTGCCCAACTCACACAGATGAGCCCTGACCTAGACTCCAATACAAGCATACAATTTCTCAGCTCAAGGGTAGCACCTGTATTGACCATCTATCATTGTTTTATTTGTCACAAGATACTCAAGGAAGTCTTTGGCCCTGATCTCACAGAGAATGATGCTATTGAAGCACAAAGGTTTCAAACCCTCTCAGAGCTCAAGATCCTTAAAAGTCTCCCAAACCTTTCCCTGATTGCATATTTAGTGGATTTCTCAAGTACCTAGCAATCATGGCTAAAAGCAAATCTTGAAAACAGCAACACAGTTAGAAGGATGATCATTTGATGGACTTTACTGTACACACTGAGTGTGAGGTGGTAGCAAAGTATCTTCAGGTAAGGTAAATCAATGTTCAAATTAATGATTGCCTCATAAATCTGGGTGTATTGAGCAAGAGCCCACTCAAGCCTGTCACCCATAAATGCTCTATCATTTCAACAACTGGTTTGACCAGGGTGTAAGAATTAAAGAGAATTTTGATGCTGTGGGTATAATCCTTACCAAGTTGTTCTGGTCTCATTGCAGTTTGCTCAGCTCAGACTGTAGGTGTGTTGAAAGTATTTTTCATCATCATCTAGAACACCTGTGAGCCTCTCTTGCAACTCTCACATTGCTTAAGTATTATCAGACAGTGCCACCATCAAAAATGGAGGTGTCTTTTACATTCTTGTTCAATTTCTAAGATGAATTATAAAAAATCTGAAAAACCTTGGCTAAAGCAAGCCCAGACTGTCCAAAATGAAAGAGACATATTTTGGACACAGAGAAGGCTCATCCTTAGATTTCCTAAAAAGGTTCTTGAACTCCCAAACTAAAGCTTCATCAACAGGTCTGATCCTATTGTAAACTTTATTTTTCTATTTGATTTCCATTGCTTGTCTTTTGATGAATCTCACAAGAGATTCTGGTGCACCTAATTGACTCATATAAATCACCAAAACCATGCCTTCACAGGCTTTCAAGATGTGTTTGTGACCTGTGCTGCGCCAACCACTGTCAGGCTTTTACTTGAAATTCATCCAATTTACTTTGTCCTTGACTCCTCATCCTTCACAGGTAGATATGGTAGATGAGAAAACATTCCAGAAATCCCACCATGACCCAAAACTCTTCAAGTTCAACCAGGCATAAGTCTTAAAACTCAATAGTTCTAGCTTAACACAAGCCCCACCAACTGCAGAGACAACCCCCGGAGCCTGCAGAGAAAGGGGGCTGTGTTGTATCCCAAAGCCTGAGGAGGCTCTCACTTTGGTAGTGACAATCTCTAGATGTCAATTTCAGCACCTCACAAGATCCAGAACTTTAATGTGCCCTTATGAAATATGAGAAACAAATTTTTCTGGTTCTTTGGTCCTCTTCAGATTTGTCTGAACTGCTCCAGAAACCAAGAATCAAGTGGATTTGTTATTTAATAAATTGAGATATCTACACCCAAACCTGCTGTGACTACATATAGTTCAGAATCACAAGAGCTAATTTCCACCACACTTGTTTGGTCGAGGCTTTCAAAGGTTCCATTAACTTGGAAACGCCCTTCAAGTCAATGTTTTCCCATGGATGCTGCGCGGTTTTATACGAGTTATGATACAAGATGAAAAAGATCATTCTGACCAACTTAGATTTTTTGAAAGAGAGGATAATGAAGTCTTTAAAAGTATATATGTAGACCCCAATGGCAAAACAGTCAAGAAATTGGATTTTCTATGCATATTCTTATCACGCGGGAATCTGTGGCTTACTTAAGCCGTAAAGTCCGTCCTTTGCAGGCTCCAAAGGATGTCTACGCTTCGAGGAAGGACTAGGTTAAGTTGATCAATAGGTGGGTCCTCAACATTGATCCGAGTGATCTTTTGGCATAAAAAGAAAAAGAAACCACGGAGATATCTGTCCGAGGATACCGCCTTTGGAGGGTCCTCAACCTAAGTCTATGTTGATCTTCTATATTTTGGCATTGAAGCAAGCATCATTTAAAAAAGTCAGTTTTGCGTATCCATATTGATCAATTGTTAAACTGGTGTGAAATGCCTTTATTCTGATCAGTAGATCAGTAGTCAAGAATTATGATCAGATGATACATAAAAGAAAGCTAAGTGATGTGAAAAAATAACTCCTTGAATGCTTTAAAAATTTATTAATTAATTGATTGATCCATCCTTGGCCCTTGGGTGTGCACACAAATATATGACATAGCCAAGAGCCAAGGAATCGTAAGCAGGGTTTGATCACGTATGTACAGTCAAACCGGAAAAGCTTGCCACCAATTCCCCGCCAATTTGCTCGAGTTTTGCGGGCAAAATCGGTCAAGCTTTTCCGGTTTGACTGTATGTACATATGTAAAAGGAGGACCCAGGCATGCACTACATGAACATAGTCCCCAAAATTGGCCCAAAAAAAGCCAAATTCCGACGTGCTCCAGGCCGGATTCCGACCGATTTGGGGAGTCTCATATGTATACTAAAAAAAAAATCCGACAAAATTTGTGACTATCATTTCTTTCTATACCAGCAGGTCACAAACAGATGTATTATGTATCTACAATTTATATACAATCTATTTTTTCTTGCTACGTTGACTAGCAAGGTTACAATTGAAGGTTTTGATATTGTAATCTGAAGATGCCATTGCATCTACCATCTGACTTATACTTTCTGGCAACAAAACCATCCCCGAGCGCGGCTCATCTAAGTTGGAACCTCTTGTTTCAGGGAAAAGATAGTGAATTTTTGAAGCTTCGAGATGAGCAAACATGTACTCGTGAGGCTTTCCAGAAACATATGACATAGCAATGGGCATGTCTGGTTGGTGCGAGTAAAGTTGGGCTGAGATGTAGGAGAGCTTGTCTCGCTTCGTAGCACTTGCGACCCATCGATGTTTATCATTGATATATTCATAGACTGCCAAAACTTTACCAATGTAAAGTTTCTGAACCAAACATGTTAATGTTATATCATTTGAAAATTGATCGACATAAACTCACATTGTTACATATTGCCAGGAAGAATTTCATTGGCTTGATGGGATTTGTGACAGAGATCACACCATTTCCAACCAACCAGCTCATATCGCGACTGGTTGTAGTATTCCTTTGAACATCAGCCAAGCTCAGCTTGACATGAATGTTCCAGCGATGCATGCGGGAAATCGACGAATCAGTTGCTGTGTTGGAATCTTTGACTAGCACAGCAACAAGCTTGCTACACTCGCTTGGCGATAAGGTATCAGTGCTGGATACAGACCCAATGACATCGTTCAAATGCTTTCTCTTTCGTTCGTTTCCGTGTTTCTTTTTTACTTCACTATCATGCTTTTGACGAATCTCGACAATGGACGAGATGTTTAAAGCAGTTCCAGTGCTGTTGGTGAGTCTACACAATGCGTCAGTCGCTCACTTATCAGCTTCTTTGTGAGTTTGCTCATCGGGCACTACAAGTAAAAGATGGCCAGTAATCAGTGAATGGTATGGTATTGGGTGAAGAGGAATTGAACATACATGGGGTGTTCAAAAGATCAGACAAAGTGAGGCGTGCTCGATTGAGATGAGTTTCCACCACCGCATTCTCGTCGATCTCAGTGAGTTGCACATCCAATTTTTGTCGCTCCCCCATCATTGCGGCTGCAGTCTCAAAAACTTCGCTTTCGTCGGTCTCGGACGGGTCGAAACGATACACTACTTCAATGTCCCTTGAACGACTTTCAGAAATGTCTGAGATGCACAGAAAGATGTCAGCTGCAATGGGAAGAACACGAACCACAGATAGTACACTCAGAAATACCTTCAGTTTGAGATGGGTCGGGTTGTGTGTCATTGTCGAAAATTTCCAAGTCGGTGGGAAGATCAACTGAGTCATCTATGGCATCAGTTGGTACATCCATACCACAAAGACGTGCGAGGTGGGTTGCTCGCTGTTCAGCAACTGAAAGGTCTTCGCGTAACTCGTGGTCTGAAGGAAAGTAACCAAGATCGCCAGTGGGTTTGTCACCCTCGTCTTCAAAACAGTGCTTGTATCCCGCGTGTATATGTTCAGAACTAGGAACTTTGAATGTCCCGGTCATGATTCCCTTGATGATCGCAAAGAGCTTGGGCACGAGCTGACGGGCATCCAAAACTGTGAAATTGGGTGAAATGATACGTAGCAAACCGAAGAGGTGTTCACACATCTCAGTGCCATGTTTCCATGGGAGGAGCGGGAATTCGGGATAGTATTCTCGGTGTGATATTATAAGTGCTATCAGTGATTCGGCAAGCTGGGTGAAAATTTTCAAACTCTGAGGCGAAATTCCGTTCTTTTCGGGGGACATCATTGAGCCAGTCTCCTGCTTTCGCTTTTGAAGATAGCTGTTCCATTTACGAAGAAAGAATGCCGCAGTCCATGCTGATCTAACACGTTCACTGTGTCCCATGTGACGATTTAACCAGGCATCACATAGCTTGCCGCACACAAAAAGATAAACTGCAAGACCAGTTCCATCAGAAAGGTTCAAGGCAGCTTTGACTGTTTCGGAAGAAAACGTCCGATATGCCCGTCCGTCGTCTTGCTTATCCGAGTTGTGTACATCGTGTTGGTAAAGTGGCGAGTTTTCAGATGTCAGAATTTCAGTCAGTTGACCAATTCCAAAGTAGAATCGACCAAATGCAAGACATCGAGCACCTGACAAGATCTGGTTGGCTGCAGTTTTTCGAGCATGCTTGGGATCTTGAACAGCCACAATTTGTCTAGGTGGCTGACCAATCAAGGGCACGTGAATCTTGACTCCTAGGCCAACAAAAGAAAACGAGAGTGTTTCATTTGCTAGATTTGCAAGCATTGCTTGGGCCGACAATTCGTTGGCTGCGCCATCTGAGCCAATTGAGAGAATATTAAGACCGGCCTTCTGGGCCAGTGAGATGGCTGTGTCATGTAAAGTCAGGATATCTTCACTCTTCTCATTGTTATAGCTTGCCAGCATTGCCACTACAAAGGTTGGTACGTTTGGAAGTGGAACCTGGATGGTGTATGCTCGTACCTGTTCAATATTTGAGAACCATTGAGATCAAAAAGGGACAAAGGGACTATCAATAAGAGATTTGTACGTACCTTGGTGCATAAAGAATCATTTTCCAATATTGATTTGACTTTGGCTTGTAAGTCCTTGGCACCACTGAACGCAACATCACCCCCTTGAGCTCCTACTATACAGCCATTATAGACGCGGAGAGTCTTTACACATACTGTCTGATCGGACCCCAATGCAAGTGGACCATTGTAGCCCAGCTTTTTGATCTGTTCAGAGATGCGTACAAAGTTTGAGAGGTCGAGTCCATCGGCCAACTGCATTCCACTTAATCGCTGTGTTTCCCGCAAGCTTCGAGCGTCTCGTGAGTGTAGATTTGCTCGTACAAAACGACCAGCGGCGGGGCTGATTGCCCATAGAGTCATTGTAAAGTCGTCCCATGGTTGTTGAACCCTCAATCCGCGAAGTGATTTTCCGTCCTTTTCGCGTGTGGCTCGTGATGCAACTGCTTTAACAAGTCCTTCAAAAACATCCATGTTCTTGAACAATCCAGCTGAACCGTGGGTACCCAGAGTTGACCAGAATCGTGGATCGCCTGAGTTTGAGAGAGTTTCTAAGGATAGATTGAGGTCGCGTAACTCTTTGTACTGTTGCATCCGAGGATCAAAGCCAGTACTTTGCATCAAGGTGTCTTGTATGTGCTTCACGGCATTGCCTTCGGCATACTTTCTACTGACTGCTTTTCTAAATGATTTGTCCTTACGCAACTCCCAACACGGATTACAAACAGTGGCATGTCTTGCATTCGAGGTGGGAACAAATTTTGTGCATTGGGTGGAATGTATAGTTTTCAGTTCACCTTTTCGATCGATTCTCCAGGTCGCTTCAGCTTGAAGAACACTTTGTAGCTGAGTGACTTGCTTAGTGGTGAGTTTGCTTTCTTCTCTAGTCTTAAATAGCTCTTCACAGACTACCCATCTTGGACGGCTACCATGGTATTCTGAGGGTGACCCAAGGATGCAGTCGATAATAAGGAAATCAGTATCCGGTCGAACCCACGTATCATCATTCATTCCGGCACATGGAACACCTTGGATTTGACTCTTTGGCTTTGGACAAGGGTTTGCTGTGGGAACCGCGTCTTCTGCTGGTCTCTTTTTGAAGAAGTCAGTTAGTGGTCTGGTATTTTTTGGTGCGTTTGTTATTGTGATACATTTGTCTGATGGAGGTCACATGTCTTCATCAGTGTTTGTCACATATTGTTTGTATCTTTCAAGTGTGATGATATAAAGAGAAACTCACCACTTTTCCAGTGATCATTCACAGGCTCCGTACGGCCTTGTGACATCTTGATTCCACGAGCACCACAGTGACAGTAAAATAGTTTATCTCCATTGATAGGCTCAAATTGACAACGGGTACATTGAGAAGTTGGTGTGTTGGCTGGGCAACGTGCCATGAGGGCTTGAATAGTGCTGGGGCCTTTGGTTTTAGGAAGCATTTTACACGCTTGGAATGATGAGTTTTTATGTAGATTAGATAGACTGTGGATTGATTTCTTGAAGCAATTTTGATAAATTGAGATTTGTGTGTTGAAGTTTTTTTCAAACCAGATTTTAATGCATTTTGCTGCATTCTACAGCATTTTGTGAGATTTTACTCTATTTTACTAGATTTTACTGAATTTCATGGGAATTCAATAGATTCTTGCTGGCATTTAGAAATCTGTAACCCTTATTTAGCCTAAGACCCTATCACTTCCGGACAGACTTCTGACCTTGTTGGACTTTCAAAAACCGCCCTTTGCGTGGACTATGATCCTGCCAAATTTTTTTTGGTGGGGACTATCATTTTTTGTCTCATGTGAATTTCCGTCCTATTTTGGGGAGTATCATTTTGCCTGTTTTGGCCCAAAATTCCGCCCTAAGTGGGGAGTAACATACCATAGAGCATGCCTGGGTCCTGTAAAAGGATCCTTGAAGCTCTTTTATAGTGTTTTTTTTAGGTTCAATATCTTCAAGATATGTACAAATTCTAAAGAAATCGGCTTAAAGAATATCATGGCTGTGCTAGACTCGGGTCGTGGATATGGTGATGCAATTGGTTTATGAGAAAGCAGTCTGAAGGAATTAAAGAAATCGCATAAAATGAAATGTGTGTATGTACAATGTATGTACTAAGCTTGGAGGGAGCGAACGGGCGTTCTTGGATAGTTTAGGAGATCACAAATCGGTCGGTCAGCTGATTTCTTCCTCCCACCCGAATCTTAAACCTTGATCTTTTTCTGACTTAAAAGTTCAAACCATCTCTCTTTTAAACCTGTCAAGACTCAAAATGAAAAGAGTAGAAAAGAGTCATCTGACTTTTGAAATTTAAACTTTAATTATTTCGTTTAAGTCCTAATTTTTACTGATCATCCCGGTGGATCGACCGGCTCTTTTATGTACATCCCGAATTAAATTCAAGCCGAGGCTGTGAAGAAACGTCAAGTTGGTGATCTCTCAAGTTGAGGAGGCGGGTGGGAGTATTTATACTCCATGCTCTCTTTCTACATCTTTCTTTTGCCGCACACATCCATCTTCTTCATTTCGAAAAAAAGAAACAAACCAATCATCTTTCAACTCATCAAAGAGGGTGTTTTTATTTTTTTAAATTTCATCTTCACAGCTAAATCACGATATATATCTTCATAAAAGATTTACAACCTGCAACAAAAGCATTTGGTATGTGCGTGATTATTTTGATTTCTTTAAAACTATAAAAATTGGGGATCTTCTTTTACATATGTATGAGTTCTTGAGTCATCAAGATTTGATAACCCTCAGGCTCAGATGAATGTCGATCATAGATAGATATATCAAGGATTGACAACTTTTTAAGTACACAGGATTACTGATTTTGTTTCTTGTCTATACTTCTTGATCTGTATATGATATTAAAGTAAAGCATTGCAAAGAAAACCTTCAAACATCATTCCAAGCTTCCGAATTCCCCCGCAACCGAGTTTTACAGTAAACAACTCATCGAAGCTCGGTTGTATTCCGTCGGATCGTTCCATCAAGTTTCAAGTTGGTACGAATTTTTCATTCTTCTGATTCTTTTTTCCTCTACATAGTCTCAAATTTCTCTCTCGTTCTTGGTTTTTTTTGGGTTCTTAATCGATGATGATCAAGTTTTGCATATAAAGCTTTACGATCGAAGAGTATCAAGAAGATAAGAGCTTTTGAGATCGATAGATATCAAGTTTGGTTGATGATAATTAAATCAAATCCTGCAGTCTCAAAAGATAACGTAACGTTTTTTTTTACAAAATCTTAACTAGTACCCTGTTTCATCTGTCTTTCAAACTTGATCGATGTCTTGGTATGGGTTTGTACGTAGAATTGAAGTGCAACGTGTTCTGAATGTAACACTCCACCCCCCCCCCCAAAAAAATGAATGTCGGTACATCTTCATGAGACTTTCGGTTGATAGGATGATCTTCAGCATCAAGATAGGAACTTTAAAGTCAAGTTTTTTATATTGGTTTTCTCTAATCATGAACTATGAAGATGATTTTTGGATGAAAAGAGCACAGGATTCAACAAGGTAGGATGCTGGTTGAATGTTTGTGGAGAGTTTTGAATTCGTTTACTACATATCTCTTTCAAGCTCCTGGATGATACATATCCTGTGTGTGTGTGTGTGATTGTCGGCTGTTTGATGAAGTTGGTCAATGAGAATCGGATTGATGTTCTGAGTTGACGTCATGATTGAATTTAAAACTTTACTTCAAATTCACTTTCTTGACTTATCCGAGTTATCATCGATCGAGAAGCATTCATCTTACCCCATCTTATACTTAATACATACTCTTACATCTCTTGGTTTCTTGGTTTCATCCATTTGACTCTACAAAAAGAAGTTAACAAGAAACTGTTTAAATTCAAATCGAATTGAATGTCAACTCTTTAAAACTTGTTGTGGATCCTCTTGACTTCCATCCTGATCGATTCTTCTTTCACTTCACAGACAATTTCTCATTTAAATCAGGACCTCCTTTGATCAGTTCTTACTTATACCTCATTCTAACTGACTTGTCGTTGAGATACTCCTTTGATCTCAACTTCAGAATCAACCTATCACCATTTATGTAGACTACTGGTGCTTCTTAACTTATCACTCTGTACATCCTCTTCGAATGATGATCTAATCCGATATACAAAAGATCATTGTTAGGAAAAGGCTCATTGTACAAATCAGAAAAAACCCAATTTCCATTCTCTGGTATAATTTCATCATTCTTTCCTATCATTTCTGACCTCTTCTCTTCTGACATTTCTCATTTGAATTGTCACATATCAATCATCATTCCAAAGCTCAAACTCTCAAGAAGAGCCCATGATTGACATCTTTTGGTTTGTTTATTTGTTTTCAGCCCAAATCGAATTTAGCATCATCCTAAACTTCTAAGCTTACGGAACTCTGGCCTGTATCATCATCATCATCCATCCATCCCTTAATAAGGTTTTCTGTATCGATTCCTCATCCAATCCTAAAGAATACCAACAACTTCCCCAACAAAATTATATCCATCATAATCTCTCGACAGTGTGAAATCCAATTGGACTCTTCTCATCCACCACTCAGATTAAAATCGTAATTACTTGAAAAAATGTCAGTCGGAATTGTTCTGTTCATTGAACTTGCAACTCTCATCAAATACTAAATCTTTGATTCTCTTTAATCTCATTTCTTAGATCACTTTGGCCTTTCTTGCACTATAAGTTTTTGTAAAAAGTAAAAGTGAATTTATCGATCAAAACTCATCACATCATGGTATGTCCCCTTTTTTCCTTGGCTTGTCTGATAATGATGCAATAACTGATCATGTGACCTATCCTATGGCTCAACGTAGCAGGCCGTATCAATTATTTGTGCATCCCCTCCGCTTCTCAAGCCAACGCCTATTCGTCCTGTTTGTAGAAGAGCAATTGAAGCTCAAGCAGAAAAAATCGAGGTCACCCCTCTCCAACCTCGACGTGCTGGTCCTACAGAACGCCGTCCGAGTATGCTGCGAGCTACTACTCTTGGTTTGTTCCTCTTTCTACCGAGCTTGACTGCGCTTCGTACATCAATTACTGACATGTTTTGCACATCACTCTTATCATAGACGGCCGAAGTTTAGAAGAAGTAATCCAAGCAGCTCATCGAGCATCACGGTATGATCAAGTTACAGTCAAAACACCTTCTACACCACAATATCAATCAACATCTTATACTTATCAATCAAGACCACATCTAAGAACCGAACGAAGAGAGTCATGGCATTCCAATTCAACAGATCATTCTTACCATCCTAATCCTCATCAACGTTCTCGTCCTTCTTCAATGGATGATGTACAAGCATACGATTATCCTTATCAGTATCCAAGCCGACATGATTATTCATTGACTAGTCATCCATATTGAATCATCTATCAGATCTCAAGTCTTTTTTTAAACTCTTTTACAATCTTTTATTTGCGAAACCGATTCGTAATTCTAGTTTTATTTTTGTTTTGACTGAATTTTTTTTTTCCCGTTTTGCTTGATCATTTTTGATACACATGCTTTTGTAAGCAAGAAGAAAAAAAAACACTAAAAAATTAAAACCAAAAGAAATTCATTTTACATGAAAGATTTTTTCTTGAATTTTTGAAAAATCATGTAGCTTACTTTTTCTTGGGGAATTGGGTAAGGAAATTGGATCTTTTTCTTTTTTTTAAAGGATAGGTTAGTTTTAATACTTTTTGGTTTTCATTTCTTGGGTTTAACTTTTATGATGAATGATTTCTTCTTGGATCGGTCTTGTTAAGTGAATCAATTATTCCCGAACATACAAATCAGATTGGGATTTTAACTCTGTAGCCTTTGAATTTTAAGATTTAGAGTTCTTTATCTCTTGGTTTTGGGTTGTTCATAAGTTGAGTTTGATATACCAAGTGAAATTAATGAGTAGCATTTGAAAAAATCACAAGGCTTGATCTTTTTCACTTATTATGAGATTGAGGCGAGTGTCAATGTCATCGCTTCTTGGTCAGGATCTCTACAATTTATCACCACATCATCAAGAGAGCACAGCTCAACCGGACCAAGATGTGATGCTAAATCTTCCCCAATCGAAACATTAAGTCTTACTGAGCTATAGATTTAGGATGTAATCATCAAAAGATTGTTCACATTTGTTCATGTAAGATCTTCTATAACACTAAATACATTCAGAAGATTTTAAATCCCCATCAACTTCCTTTGACACCGCAAAATCCATACCGCTTTATAAACATTTCTCAAGCTTTCCCTTTACATAATTCCAAATCATGTAGAGATCACCAAATCAAAGGTTTTCATGTTGGTAGTTCACTTTGACTGAATTTCTAGCACCATGAAGTGATATCAACTGATAAACGCCTCCATGACTAGACTTTCATGTGTCTAAGTAAGAATTATCAAGATCTCACTGATCATTAGACGTATTCCTAGACATTGTTCTTACATGCTACAAGATATCAGTCAAGACTGTGACGGAGTTAGACGTGCTGAACAGAGATAAGATAACTCACATCAAAGATATCACACAGACATGGCCATTTCTGAAAGCGACGATGACGAGAGAAGAAACAAAAAAAGTCAGTATAATGTGATATGGAAAACCCATGTAGAATGTAAATTCACTTACCAATTTTAGGATGAGGATCATACTCGGAAATTTGAAAATCTTCATAAACGAACCCATCAATATCATGAACCTGTTCTCTAAGTTTGATTTTCGGAAACGGTCTTGGTTGACGATCAAGTTGAGTTTGAATAGGACCAAGATGATCATTATAAAGATGTGCATCACCTAATTGAATGATCAATTCATAAGGTTCTGTACTTGTGACTTGTGAGATCATATGAACTAGTAAGGCGTATGAAGCTATATTGAAAGGTAGACCTAGACCTATATCTGCTGAACGTTGGTAAAGTATACAAGATAATCTTGGTTTGGGATTTTGATCATCTGCTCTAAGATTGATTGCATTCAAGAAAAAGTTGTGTGAGTTGAGATTTGAAATCGGTTTTTTTTTTTCGTAATGAATTGAAAAGGAACTAACAAGGTTACATAGAATTGACAAAACATATGACAAGGAGGAAGTGCCATTTTCGATAAATCGCTAGGATTCCAAGCCGTTAAAATGATTCGACGATCCGTTGGATTGGATTTAATTTTTTCAATACATTCTTTTAATTGATCGATTCCTTGATCAGTATAATCATCTTGAAAAGTTTTGTATCGAGCACCAAAATGTCTCCATTGAAATCCATAGATCGGTCCTAGATCTCCTTCAGATCTTTGATCTAATCCAATACTTTCTAAATACTTTTTAGATCCGTTTCCATTCCAGATATTCACTCCTTTGGATGATAAGTCTAGTGATGAAGTAGATCCTTTGATGAACCATAACAATTCATGGATAATAGCTTTCGTGAATACTTTTTTCGTCGTTAGTAATGGTAAGGTTGAATCTGTTAAGGTGAACCTGAGTTGTGGTGGTGCAAAGAGTGATCGACTGTTTTAAAAGAGATTTTCTTGGGGTCAGAGTTTGGTGATGGGTTTAAAGATCGGTTTAGGTTTTGAGATTTTGAGATTTAGAAATGGATTCACGTTCCGGTTCCTGTTCGATCTGGTCGATGTTGTCCTTGATCTATGACACGTCGAACGAGGTCTAAGTATTGATGTTCTTCGTGTGGTTTGTTGGTTGAGGCCATGTTGAGAATCAAGTTGGTGGTTAGAGCTGAGTCTGCTTGTCCAATTCGGAGTGACCAGATCGCGCGGGGGTGTACCGTGTTGCAGTCGCGTACCCGCAGTGACAGTCTAACACAAATCTCCACTGCTCCATCATTTCAGCTTGATATCATCTAAACAAACCTTCATCAACTTATATCATCTCTCATCTAATCCTCAAATCTTAATTAAATTCACTCGCAATGCCACCATTTGGATTCGATAGGGTAAGCCATTCACTACGAATGTACATCTGATCAGACCTTTTAAAACTGACTGATATAATTTTTTTGTTTTGATTTGAAATTTAGGGTTCAGTTCATGTGGTTCAAGTTCCAGGTGCAGGTCAAAGAGGTATTGATGGAAATCATGATGATGGTACAAATTCTCCATTTAGAACGATACAAGTTTTACAAAAATTCATTCAAAACTTTCGTATAGGTGATTCATTTATTTATCGGTAAGTTTGTTTTATCTACAAGAAAATTTTCATAATGAGAAATCCACTTTAAAAAAAAAAAGTTGAATTGAAAAGATGTATGTTTTTCTTTTTTGGTTTTTTGGTTATATAGTGATCGATTACGTACGAATTTGTTAGCCAAGGTTTATGCATTAGAAGTAGAGATGCAACATTTGATTGTTTATGATGAAGAACTAGCTCATTCTCTAACCAACTCACCTGGTGATATCCTTCCACTAGTTTGTTCATTTCAAAATTCATAGTTTTTTTTTCTTTTCATATCGTTTTATCTAACTGTTTATCTGTTTCGGTTTAGTTTGAATCGGCTGTAAGGAAAGTAGCAGAATCGATGTTGTTTCCACTTTCGAAATCAATCGAATTGAATGATGGAGATCGAGAATTAGAAATCGCGGGTGAAGGTGTAGATGATATACCTGATGTTCAAGTCACTTTACAGAGTGAGGCTCGCTTAATGCAGTTTCGTGACCTACTCGTACGTTTTCCAATCTTGCTTCTTGAGTTGATCCTGATCCTTATCCAACTAATCAATGGTGATCTTTCAAACAACCTGTTCTTTTACTTTTGAATCATAGGCACCCAACATATCTAAATTAGTACGAATGCCTGGAATCGTCATCTCAGCTTCAACCCTTTCTTCTCGTGCAACAATGTTAAGTTTGAGATGTAAAGTGTGCAGTCATCCTCAAAAGATCACAGTCCAAGGTGGTTTTACTGGATTTACCTTACCAAGAGTTTGTGCTGGAGTACCAGCTGCAGGTGATCGAAAAGAATGTCCATTGGATCCTTATGTGATTGTACATGAGAAATCTAGATTTGTAGATCAACAATCGGTTAAATTACAAGAAGCTCCTGATATGGTACCGGTTGGGGAATTACCTCGTCATATTTTATTATCGGTGGATCGCTATCTTACTGCAAGAGTCGTTCCGGGTTCTCGTATCATTGCTACTGGAATTTATTCTACTTTTAATAGTTCAGGAAAAAATCAAGGTGCGATTGCATTGAGACAACCTTACCTTAGAGTGGTCGGATTAGAGATTGATCGGGATGGTAATGGAGTTAATGGAAGAGGACGACAACAATTCACGGTTGAGGAAGAAGATGAATTTAATGCGATGGCTCGTAGTCAAGATTTCTATCAACGGTTTACTGATTCGATTGCTCCTTCGATTTATGGAAATCAAGATATTAAGAAAGCAGTGGTTTGTTTATTGATGGGAGGATCTAAAAAGATTCTGCCAGATGGAATGCGATTGAGGGGTGATATTAATGTGTTATTACTTGGTGATCCAGGAACGGCTAAATCTCAATTACTCAAGTTTGTAGAGAAAGTTTCACCTATTTCGGTTTATACATCTGGAAAAGGATCATCAGCTGCAGGTTTGACTGCATCTGTTCAACGAGATGCTCAATCAAGAGAGTTTTATCTTGAAGGAGGTGCAATGGTTTTAGCAGATGGTGGAGTGGTCTGTATAGATGAATTTGATAAGATGAGGGATGAAGATAGAGTAGCGATTCATGAAGCGATGGAACAACAAACGATTTCGATTGCTAAAGCTGGGATTACGACGATTTTGAATTCGAGAACAAGTGTTCTGGCTGCTGCAAATCCAGTGTTTGGAAGATATGATGATATGAAGAGTCCAGGAGAGGTTTGTACTTTTATTTTTCCCCATACTACTTTTTTAGGTTTAGACCTTTACTGATATTCTTGGATTGGCTTACTTGCGCTTTTTGGATCCACTTTTTAGAACATCGATTTTCAAACTACGATTTTGTCTCGATTTGATATGATTTTTATTGTTAAAGACGAACATGATGAATTACGAGATCGAGTAGGTTGACCTCCATTTGATCCTCACCTATCAATAGTGTAGCTCATCTTTCCGTTTTTTCCTAATACTTCATAGACAATTGCAAGACATATCATGGCTTTACATATGAACCGAGCTACTGAAGCTCAAGCTCAAGGAGAAATTGATTTAGATAAGATGAAGAAATTTATATCGTTTGCTAAGTCGTAAGTGATATAGATTCTACAATTAAGTTAATATTGAACAATGTCTAATCTTTTGAGACGATGGTTTTTTTGGATTAGACGATGTGCTCCAAGACTTTCACCTGAAGCAGCAGAGAAGTTAAGTTCACATTTTGTTTCGTTAAGGAAACAGGTTCAACAGGTTGAGCGGGATAACAATGAGAGGTCTTCTATACCGATCACTATCAGGTGAGTTGTATCCCAATCCTTGTCCGATTTTCACTCTTTGTGTGTTGTATAGAGTAGAATACTGATGGATGCTTTATGAATCAGACAACTTGAAGCTATCATTCGAATATCAGAATCATTAGCGAAATTAACCCTAAGTCCAACTGTACAAGATCATCATGTAGAAGAATCGATTAGATTATTTAAATTTTCAACTATGGATGCAGTTCAAGCTGGTAATATAGAAGGGATCAGTAAAGGAGAATTACAAGAAGAAATCACGAAAGTAGAAGCTGAGATTAGAAGGCGATTACCGATTGGTTGGAGTACGAGTTATGCTAGTCTTGTTAAAGAGTTTGTTCAACAACAAGGTTATAGTTCTCATTCACTTGAAAGAACTTTATATATATTGGATAAAAGAGAAGTGATTAGGTAATTGAGTTTTTTTGTTTCCTTTTGTCTTGATCTATGTATGATGAAAATAATTAACTTTTTTTTAACTTTTTGTGGTTGTTTTGATTTTGATAGGTTCACAGGACAGAAAAGAACTGTACAAAGAGTTGGGGCTTGATAAATGATTTTGATTCTAGGTTTTGTGATTGTAAAGAAATGGATAGAATTAATCTCACAGAGTGACTTTATCCTCCAAATCACTTGCTTAAATTGGGCTGCTATTTTTTGATATCTCCTTTTGAAAATTTGTTGTATTATTTTTTGGGATTTTTTTTATTTGGATGGCATTAATTGTTTATAGCGCAAATTTGTTTGCTTGAAAATATCTTTGAGGTTAAAAAGTATTGATTTATTTATGAAAGATTGAGTGAGGTGTGGCTGATCAAAAGGGTATTATTACAAAACCTTGCTTAAAGTTCCTTGATGACTAATCTGTGCACTTTGCTTGACTTGCAAGATGGGTGGCTGAATGCTGCCTGATCTATTGAGTTTCTGTGAGTCTGAAATGACTCGGGTATTTAATATTGACTCGAAGACGGTACGGTACCAAATTTCGTCATGATCGATCACAGGCCGCGCGTCGTCATAGACAATTGGTTCGATCATTAACCTCATTCTCAAATAGTCAAAACGAATCCTCACACAAGAATCATAATACCGGTCATCAAAGTCGTTTACCTCAAGCTTCTACTACGAATTCTCACCAATTGTTTTAATTCAAAATGGTTAGTTTATAGGAAGCCTGCAATGAACTTTCCATTTCGAGTTGTATAGATAGATCGCTCTCAAATCAAAAGAAATCGCAACTTCTTCACTTCAGAATCAACCTGTAGAAGCTGACTATTTATATGCTTTTAGTCAATCATGGAATTAAACGGTGGCTCCGTCATAGCCATGGTGGGAAAAGATTGTGTAGCGATTGCTTGTGATCTTAGATTGGGAAACCAAGCATTGACTGTAGCTTGTAACTTTGAAAAGGTGAGTTGACTTCTTCTTAGGCTTAGTAAGTCAGATTGCTGATATGGTTTTGTGGATTTACATAGGTCTTTCCTGTGACGGATAAGGTTTATATTGGTCTTCCTGGACTTGCTTCTGATACTGTGACTCTGTTCGTAACACTCAAGATACTTGCGAAGTTGAAAAGAAGATGATTTGGAATGCTACTCTAATCCTTCATTTCAAATTATAGGAGACAACAATTTAGACATCGAGTTAATATGTACAAGATGAAAGAAGAACGTACAATCGAACCGGAGACCATGGCACATTTGGTTTCGTCTACATTATATCAGAAACGGTAAGTGAGAAAGAACTCTCTGATAAACTTGTAAGGTGATGAGCTTACGTTTTTTCATCCTTATAGTTTTGGGCCTTACTTTGTTGAACCTGTGATTGCTGGATTGAATTCTAAAAACGAACCGTTTATTGCTGCTACTGATCTGATTGGATGTATCAAGTAAGTCATCGATCTAGATCATTTTCCTCAACATCTTGATAGTACTCTGATTGAGAATCTCTCAGTTTTGCCAAAGATTTTGTGGTCTCAGGAACAGCTTCAGATAAACTGTTTGGAATGGCAGAAGCACTCTGGGAACCTAATCTAGAACCTGAAGATCTTTTTGAGACGATTAGTCAATCATTGATGAATGCGATGGATCGAGACGCTTATTCAGGTTGGGGAGCAGTGGTTTGGATCATTCAGAAAGATCAAATCATCAAACGAGTTTTGAAGAGTCGAATGGACTGAAGATGTCTTGTGTTAATGTTTTGTTTACTTTTAAATGTTTTTATCCTAAAGTTGGGTTTCCAAAAATTTTCAATATGGGCAATCATTTGCAATTGCTTAAGATTCATTTAACGACTCCTCTTGCTGAAGGTGGTATGGTAGCCTTTTGATTATAATTCTGCTCACACAGTGTTCCACTAAAAGATCAGCCACTGATTCAAAGGCTGATCTGAAGTCGAATCATCCGAAGTAGATATGGAAATGCCCCTGATGAAAAACTCCCGGGAGCCCTTGTAAGGTAATCCATATGGAGAAGGTCTGCCACTCCTCATGGATGGGCATATATTTTGTGGCTCAACAAAAAGCGATAAAATGTGGTTGTGCATTAGAATCAGTTGCAATTTTGAACTTGAGATCCAACTTTGACGACTCCATTGGACCATAAGCCTCACAACTAAGCATGTCAGCAAAATTTAAGTCCCAATTGCTGCCACATTTATGCGTCTTGAAACTTGGGCATGAGTTCTGGGTTTTGAATTACGAGTTCATCATCATTGCAGTAATTTGATCTTGTCTAGGTGCTCAGGGCTGAAGGGTTGATCATTGAACATCTCATATACCCAAGGTCTGAAATGCTTTACTCTGAGTTCTTTTTCATCAATGATGGTAACTTATAAACTCTGAGGAGGTGAGTTCTTTCGAGTAGGTACCACTCAAGCAAATATCTTTGCAGTGAACCCCAATTCACAATCCAGTTGGCTAATTCCTGTCTGAAAGGATTTAGCTCATTTACATAAAACTGGCGTATTCCCTGAGGATAACTTTGAGAGTTACACAACCATGGCGGTACCCTTGCATAGCTTGCAAAGATTTCCAAAGATGAACCAAAGATTGTGAATTTTCTCTCCAAGAAAGGTAAATGAGATTGAAGAGATGGAATCCCTATATTTGTTAGGCGAGGCTCGGTGTAAACTACCACTTACACACATACAATCAAACCTTGCACCCTTACAACTTGCCCAGATTCTTCAACTTTTGATCTGTAGTCACATCTGATAAATCCTATATGATGCCAATAGTAAACATGAAGGACAAAGTGCAATGAAGTGAGGCGAGGCAGGGTGAATTGAATGAACACTGATCTAAGACTGGCATAGTTTCTGAATCTGTAAGGTTCTGATAACAAAGATGGCCAATGAACCAAACACGCCATTGATTTTGCTTTTATAATAACTAAGCAATTCCTCTAAATAAAATTTCTCTAATCAAATTACAACATTTTCCTACATTTCTATCATGGGTAATCTCAATCACAATTTAACAATTTATTCAAGACTACATTCAAAAATGATATGAACTTGAACAAATTTATCTTGTATTTTTTAAGCTTTCGTTCGTGATTTTTTCTTCAAGGTTGGAGTACTACCTCTCGATTCACCAAGATCAGCAGCCCCGTTTGAATTAACTTCGTCTGTTTTACGTTTGCGAGCTTTAGCAGCCGGAGCTTTACCGTTAGTGGGCGCGTTGTTGTTCGTGTGGGTTGCGCTTGGCGGTTCACACTCTTCTTGCTCGCCGTCCTTTGCATCTCCTTCTTTCTTTGGCTTCACAGTTCGTTTACGCATCAGCTCTTCAGTATCTTCAGGATCTAATTCTTTGACAATCAATTGTACAAGTGTGTTGCACCGACGCATGATTTCTTGTGGGGTTCTTGACTTTATAAACCAATCGAATCTGACACGCAAATGAAAGACGTATGAGTAAAGAATTGGTTTCCTAATAGTGTAAAGATTCGGTCAGACAAACCTGAATAGAGGGCTCTCGATGATATCCTTCTTGATCAACTCCCAAACTTCTTCCTTACCAAGTCCATGCCGATGGAGCTGTATTAACAGGAATCGGTCCTCTTCTTCACTGTAACTCTTACCCTTGGTTTGATTAAGGTAATGAATCTTGAGATTTTGCATGGGATGTTTGACACTACTGATCTTTTCTTTAAGGAGCTCTTCCGTTCGGTCAGCTTTCTTTCGTTTGGCTTCTGCCTGTTCAATTTTGGTGATGAAGCGTGCATGATCTGGATATCATAGAGTTTTCATCAGTGATGTGATCATGACGCAACTTATAATCAGCTGAAGGAAGAATTACCCTCGATCTCTTCGTAACGTTGCCAGAAGACCTCAGCGTACTCCTGGACTTCTTCTCTGGTCTTGGTATCTATCTCTGATGCAATCAAATCATACGCATCCCTAAAAATTGCGCAGTTAGCTAGCGATACCTACAAAGTAAGACCGGCGGTGGAGAAACACTTACCGCGCATGTAATTCGCAGCCTTTGATGAAATTCAAAAAATCTCTGCGTGACCAGCTCTCGAAACCGAGAGATTGCATTTCTGCCTTTTCAGCCAATTCGTCTTCGGTGAGAGGTTTGGCTAGCGATTCACGAAATGCGGGTAGTTGTCAGTTATATATAAAACACAGTCCATAACTCAGCACCGTGCAGTGTCATTATCAGCGGAATACATTACCATTGTCAATTTCCGCTTGTAAATCTTGTCTCTCTTTCTCTAACTCCTCTGGATCAGGGTTCTCGCCCTCTTCTCTCTCTGGTAGTTCTGCTTTGATTCCTTGAGTTTTCTAGAGCAGGGAAGCACACAGGACGCTAGGTTTGAGCAAAAGACAGACGCGTGTGCGAGACTTGAGGTCCAGAAGAGTACACACCTTGAAATGTAGATCTGCTCGGTCTTGTAGTTCGATGAAGCGAGGTGGATAGAATTGCCAATCTGACCTGTGAGCAGCGAACACGATGAGTATGGAGCAGGTAAAAGATGTACAATGACTTCAGAATACGTGACGTACGTGTTAATCTTCTTTGGTCCTTTCTTCTTCTTGGGAACCGCAGGCCCACCCCTCAACATATCTCTGAAAGACATATTTTCACTGTAATTCATTTTCCGCTCTCGTTTAGCGGGCTCGATCCAAGTCATACTGATCTTCTTCTTGGCCTGTCCATTAGCAGCGTAATTTTCACCTTCCCACTGCTGAGTGTTGGTTTCAGTTTTGAAGTTGGCGAGGTCATCAAAATCCAAGCCAGAATATTTGGCATTCAATTCCGCCGTCCGTGCTTCACCTCTTGTGATGATAGACTCAATGTCTTCATCGACCAGCATGGTTTCCTTGTTATTGATGATCTTCTCCGCCCCATGCTGAATCATATCTACGAGGACTTCCTTACTTTGACCTAAGCACGGTGGGACAATTGAAGTAAGTAGACGTCGCATTGGAATGAAAAACTATGATATAGGTGTAAACACCGACCTTTTTGAGCCACGTTGGCTCTCCCTTGCTGAATGACTAACTGATCAAGTCTCAACTTTTGTGCAGCTCTTTCAAGCACTTTTTCTTCCACCGCGTTTTCAGTAACAAATCTAAACACATAGACCTGCTTCTTTTGCCCAATACGATGAGCTAAGGCCCAGATGATTACCATCAGGTTCTTGTACCAATAAAATTGAAAGCAAATTTGGCAAAAAGTGTCTCACCGCGATCCATGGCCTGTAGATCTGCCTGAGGATTCCAATCGGAGTCAAACAGGACGACTATATCGGCAGTGGTCAAATTGATTCCCAAACCACCGGCTCGCGTGGTCAACAAAAAGATGAATTTCGAGCTTCCTTCTTTGTTGTATTCATCGATTGCGCCAATACGCTCCTCGTGCTGAGTGCTACCATCGATCCGACAATATTCTGGGATATGATAATGGATCAGTCTCAGATGTACGTGTTCTAGTAATGTAGATCGAAGGCATACCGTATTCCCGGAACAGACAATAATCTTCCAAGATGTCGAGAACACGACTCATTTGACTAAAGATGAGTACCCTCGATCCCTTGGCTTTCATAGCTTTGAGTAATTTATCGAGTATGATCATCTTTCCACTGTTGAATACAAGATGTTCATCAGTGGTGAACGGAGGCCCAGGTTCCTGCAACGAGTAGTAATTTTATATTAGATATTTGATCCGCGGCTCGCTTGATCAAGCAAAATGAAGAGAGGGACGTAGACTGACAGCACCATCGAACAGGTAAGGATGATTACAACATTTCCTAAGCTGCATCACCACATTCATCAATCGAGTTTTACCCTCCTTTTTGCCTGTAACCCCATTGACTGCATCAATGTCTTTCTCTAAAATCATCTTGTACCATTTTCTCTGCATCTCAGTCATTCCTACATAAACATTGATTTCTTTTTTCGGTAGTAAACTTTTTTCTACATCTGCTTTGACTCGTCTCAGTAAAAACGGCCTGAGAACTTTGTGTAACTGTTTGACTACACTATTTTCCGCATCCGACGATGACTCGGCGTTAGTACCTCGTTCACGCTGAAACCACGCGTCAAAGTCTTCACTACTACTGAACACATCTGGCAAAAGACTAAGAAGACGATGAAAATAATCAGATGATTGGGTATAACATCACGACAAGGGGAGTGAATTGGAAACTGAGAGGCAGATCACGAAGGACTGACAAGTTGAGGAGTGCCCAAAGCTCTTGCAAGTTGTTTTGTAACGGCGTCCCAGTGATCAAAAGCCTGGCTCGGCTTTGAAATAATCGGACGATCTGACTAAGCATAGAATCGACGTTTTTGATCCGATGGGCCTCATCAATGACAATATATTCCCAAGCCACACGTTTCAAACTTCCCTTTTCCCTCAAACAAAGCTCATAAGTCGTGAGGATAACATCGAAATCTTGAGTGAGAATTTTAGTTTGACAAATCTCATTACGTTCTTCTTTGCTTCCTTTGAGTGAAACGATGTTAAAACCAGGTACCCAGAAATTGAATTCTCGGTGCCAATTATCCAAAGTAGATTTAGGAACGATGACAAGGTGAGGTCCAGCGAGAGATCGATGATGTTTTAAATACCCAAGAAAGGAGATTGTTTGTAAAGTTTTCCCTAATCCCATTTCATCGGCTAGAATACCGTTGATACCGTTATGGAAAAGTGATACCATCCAATTCAAACCCTGAATCTGGTAATCTCGCATAGTTCCGCCTTTCACATCTATGATGGAATCACAGCGAGAAAAAGTCAATCCATTATCTTCAGAATGCTGGATTGAGTTAAAAACACCTACAGCTAGGTGATTCAGTGAAAACAAATGGTTCGTCATCCGCGGTTGCATCCTCAGGGTTTTCTTTGTCCCCACTCTTTTCAGCTGCCAGTAACTCTTCATCTTCCTCCTTTTCAGTCTTTCGTTTACGATTCGAACCTTTGGCCCTACAGCAATGTAAATCAATGCAATCAATTCACTTAGCTCAGGTATGCGTGATGGGATTCAAAAGTCACGCGTCGGAAGTGTCCTCCAATTCCACCCTCCCCTTGACTCACTTGGCTCGATTATTGATATTGATCGTGGCTTTTTCACTCTCAGCCAAGAGTTTTGCAAATTCAGGTTCCCTTTGGGCCTAGGGATCAAAAGGAAGATGTAAGAACTCGTGTGCCATGGAGGTCATTCTAAGTGGTTGCATACCTTTAGGTCACAGAAGTGACGGAATAAATCTGTCTGACCCAGAAGGTAGCTAAAACGTTTGATGCTATCTGCTACCTTACCCGCGTCTACTTCTTTCCGACGCGAGTTCAGGTTCGCATCTCGAGCCTCGCGGACTGCCTTTTGATCCTAGATGACCAACCACAGAGAGTGTGTTAAGTTGTAAGACCGATGAGTTTTGTACAAAAAAATAGGCCAGTTGACTCACTTGACGCGCTATTGCGCGATCAGCTTTCTCTGAGTCTATCCTGAGTTGTCGAGGGGTTTTACTGGGAGAAGTCTGTGCGCATACATTCAGGTAAAAGATTGATGCAAAAATCAGACATTGGTCTCAGAGCCCCGGAAATTTGGTCAACTGACCTTGACTTGATCTTCGTCGGATTCGTCTGGGGCCTCGCTCAGTGAGTCATCATCCTGGTGCTGTTCACCACCGGGTACTGAATCTATTGGGGGTTCTGCTGTTGGTTTTTCAGACGAATCAATACTTGTAGTATCTTGACTAGCAGGGAGAGCTTGAATACCATTGGTGTCGGTTGATGTAGAAGCTAATCCAGATTTCTGGTCGTCTTTCATCGTCGTCAATTTAAAAAAGTGCTGAGCAAGTGCGCCCGGCTCAAACTCGATTCAATATGTACTTTGACGAATGAGAGTTTGTTGAGAATGCGGTCTGAGTTGATGTGATTTTGACGCTATGTTATAGACTACAAATTTATCAATGAAGGTCAATCAACCCTGGTGTGCAAATGGTGATGTGAGGGAGAAGTCCGGGATCACGGACCGACATCGCGCCTCGAGGCCAGGACCGATACAAACGAGGCCCGCAGCGGCTATGTTACATTTACATGTGCTAAAGTTTTTTTGCGGCTGACACGATTCTGAGGAAGGTCACTCGATTCTCAGCTTGGTCGGAGAAGGTCAACTTCTCAGACTTCACCACCAAAAATGGCTATCGAAATAGCCACCGATGGCGATGTCACTTCGAATGGCCAAGCTACTGGCACGACTGGCGCATCCGAAGGGATAACAGTTCCTTCTGCGGAACAAACGACTTTAGAAAACCACGAAGATGACGAAGACGAAGAGGACGGTGTCGAAGAGGCCACTGCCGGTAATTCGGGAGGTTCGTCATTGAAACCGTCGTATTTTTCAAAAGCTTTCAGACATCATTGCTCATACACCTCTCATGATTGTGATGTCTGCAGAAAAGAAGAAGAAAAAGAAGAAGAAACCCAAGAAAAAGAAAACAAATGGAGCTTGTGCACAACAAAGCTCTCCACCTCGAATCCCATTATCGAAAATTTACCCGCATGGTAATTACCCCGTGGGTGAAACTTCAGCTTATCTAGGCGATAATTCTTACCGAACTACTTCAGAAGAGAAAAGACATTTAGAACTCTTAGCAGCTCAAGAAGACCCAGAATCACCAGATAATTATAATAGTATCAGACGTGCGGCCGAAGCACACCGACAAGTTCGCAAATATGCTCGTGAAAATATAAAACCTGGTATGGGTATGACTGAAATTGCTGAAATGATTGAAAACGGAACTCGGGCTCTCATTGAGGAAGATGGACAGAAAAGAGGAATAGGTTTTCCTACTGGGCTCAGTCTTAATCATTGTGCTGCTCATTATACACCCAACGCAGGTGACAACATTGGTGGGTGATTTGGAGTTTATATTCGGTGATTACGCCTTTGATCTCATTTCAATCGATCCATAGTCTTGAAAGCAGATGATGTCCTAAAGGTGGACTTTGGCATCCAAGTCGGTGGTCGGATCGTGGATTCAGCTTTTACTATGACGTTCAATGACAAATACGATAAGCTATTGGAAGCCGTGAAAGCCGCTACTGATACAGGTGTTCGAGTACATATGGTTTTTCGTCTTGATTAATACAGCTCATACTGATCTCTTCATTCGCTGCCTGATAGGAAGCAGGCATTGACGCCAGGCTCCAAGACATCGGTGCCAAGATACAAGAGGTGATGGAATCTTACGAAGTGGAAGTAGATGGCAAGGTGCATCAAGGTACCATCTACGTGTCTCAATCTATACATATGACAAAGTTTTAACTGATTACCTTGACTGTTGCACCATTTAGTCAAGTCAATCAAAAATTTAACTGGTCATAACATCCTTCCTTACCACATACATGGTGGTAAGTCTGTACCCATCGTTGCTGACTCTGACGAGGATGGAGTCATGGAAGAGGGGGATCATTTTGCTGTTGAGACCTTTGGAAGTACGGGACGAGGTTATGTGAGAGATGATGGGGAATGCTCACATTACGCCAAGATGCCCGATGTCATCAAGCCAATCCCGTAGGTTTCTCTCACTCGGTCACATCTTGCACATAATGACCTCATCTTGACTCTTGCTTCTGTTACTTAAAGATGGAATCGCTCCAAGGCTTTGTTAAATACTATCAATAAACAATTCGGCACCCTCCCTTTTTGTAAGAGGTACCTGGACCGTATAGGAGAGACCCGATATTATCCAGCGGTATGTTTGATTCCATGGTCATCGTATTGTCTCTGCGATACTGCACGCTACTAATGATGAATATGACAAACATAACAAACGTGACAAACATGACGATGGTATAGCTTGACAAGCTGGTCGATCTAGGTATTGTCCAGGATTACCCGCCATTGAGCGACGTGCCAGGGTAAGTGAACGCTAAGCCTCTGCGATTGATTGACTTATGCTGATCATGTAATTATTCGTAGGTGTATGACAGCGCAGTTTGAGCACACCATCATAATGAGGCCCACGTGTAAGGAGGTTGTTAGTAGAGGGGACGACTATTGACCATTCCACATTCCTGAGTTTTTCTCGAGACGGGCGCAGTTCCCAATGTTGTAGTATAACAATGTCCAATTTCATCTTTATCACATTTCAGACGCTACTTCGGCATGTCTGGGATTTCTGATTTTCTAGCCTGGTGCAACAGTTAATCCCTCAAAAAGATGCTCAAGAAGCCGTTGAGCTTTGTACACATTTCGAAGTTGGAAGTGTAGGATTTGCGTCTGGCAGGCACAGCCTCGTGATCCGTTGTACATAAAGTCCGGCTATGTTGTAGATCAGTTGAAGTGAGAATGTTGGAGAACTAAATTTCCATGGGTTGTCTAAGTCTTCAATCAACCGATCTCGTAGAAAACACTTGTTGGAGGACCGAATTGGTTGAACTGCTTGGAAGGTGCTCCTTCATCTGCAGGCAGCTGTTGATGATAGCCGAAGTCAGCATCATGTTCGGCCCTTTGCCCTTTGGTGAGTAATGATTCACAGCCTATTGTGGCCCGTGGGTCGCTCCAGCCAAAAGAGGACTTCAGACTTCGCAGTCTTCCTATTCCACTCTGCATTCGAAATCAGAATGATCATTTACGTCTACATACATAGCTGTGTGATGAATTCAAAATGGCTAGCTTCAACAGTTTCCAATTCATCCACGCAGGCCGCTCAGCTTTGAAAAGATGTTGAACTTGTTTGGATTCAGTTCGATCGTCTGATCTAGCCTTGTTCTCAAATGATCCTTTGAACCAGACTGCCACCTACTGCCATCTCCAAAAACATTCTACCAGCTTCCAGTTTATGCAAAGTCATGTTCTCACACGATCACGAGTGCATTCATCGAAATTGATACAGTTGACATAGCTCTCGACACACATATTAAATTTCCTTCGACTTAAATACCCTTGGGCCTTGACTCCAGCATTTCTCCCATCCCATTACGCCAATAAAAACCAACTCAGCTTGATCAATTTCAGCTCAGCATTTCGACCTCATACTTCAACTAACTACACTTAAATCCAACTTCCTTCAACATCATGATTGCCAACAATATGACCTCTCAACCACAAGCTACCAACACCATGTCTCCAAGTCAGTTGAGATGATTCATTCTTCAACTCCAATGTTGAACTCGGCTAACTCCTACTTTCTTTCTCGAAGACTTGGTCTCGGATTCGCACTCCACCCAAGAGCCTCAAACCGAGAATGTCGTACAACCTACTGGCTGGGTCAGTTCTCAATTGTTACGACTTCGTGGCGGTAAGTCAATCTTCCATACCGCTTCAACACTTTTCAAGGAAACTGAACGAATCGTTTGCCCTTGTTATTGATAACAATTTTTGACATTAGGTGGCCATCATCCTATCGCTGAGTATGTCCATACCGACTCTCCGAAAGATGATTCCTTGGTCTCTGAAATGCATGCAAACTGACACTCATTTTCCTTCATCGCTCTCAATTTATTTAGATGCTGCTGCTGCATCTGTATTTGCATCGGTATTGAAGAGATGTAAGTCGTCAATGTTTCTTAAACACACTTCATAAAGGGGACTAATCGCGCTTTCATCCTCAGTTGCTGCATCGAAGCTCTCAACGGTTGCTTAGGAAATTGATCGTTATTTCGACATCCGACTGTCTGCCTCGCTCCCCGCCCGAACGCTTTTCACTCACCGATGAACAAATACTCGGAATAAGCGTCTTACTCCTCTTTCTTTGTTGATACCGTTTGCTTTGGGATTTTAGATTGTACCTTTCACTTGGAATTCTTTGCGCTCCCTGCCCTTCTTGAATATCGCGGGTGATGTCGTCATCTTGCGGCATTCGAAATACATTTAATGCGCTAACATGCTTCAACAGGCCCGGTAAAAAATGATGTACTCTATTATTTGAGAACGCACCTTTCGAACGGCAAACGCTTTCCTTGTCGGCTCGTTCGGCGTATTTGAAAATTGCAAAGGAATCTCTTCATTTGCTGCGTGACTTGCGAAGCCTTGACACGAGCGAAGTTGGTTTGCCTCAAGCGGTATTCTCAGCTGCAGACATCCTTTTGATCAGATGTAGTATCAGCACAATCTGGGTCCTCACATAGGCAACATGTGCTTGTCTGGTTGACTTATTCCTCAATGACTCCAATGTCATCGTGAGCGGATGCTCCCAATAAGATGATTTCCCGCACCAAATGGACGTTGACTTAGCATCATTCATTCCACACCCACCGCATCCCATCATACGCTCAGCATGTATTCTTAAGGTAACATCGAGCCCGTCTTCAGCTCTAAGACTTCGCACCAAGTCAAATGTACAAAGAACGTGTGTTTGTAGCATGTTGTTATGATTCAAGACTATTCGAAAACTCATCAATTCCCTGTCACGAGAGAGGCATGACCTGGTTTTCTACTTCTCATAAGACAAACCCAATGTCTAACTCAGTCTGCTGATCCAGCAACAGATCCAGCAACACCTGAGCGTAACCTCATCTCTTGGATTTTTGACTTTCCTGGCACATAATGAGGTCTGAATCGAGTCTTGTGGAACAGCTTGCGCCTGGCGATTTGGTAGGTGGGTTTAAATTCACTGAAACCACTTTCATGCCAAATAAGCAAGTTATTGATACCCAGACCTATCATGAAGACTTATGACTGTGAAACATGCAATATAGCAATTATGCATTGACTGTGGAACCAAACCGTCTAGTATGATAATTTCAAGTTCGAACATACAAGTGCATGAAATGCAGCTACAAGAAATTTTTCAATCAAATTTGCATGCAAGTACAGCAGAATTACAGAAGCGGAACAAATGGATGCAAACAATGAAGAGATCTGGTGAGGAGAACAATCTAGTTAAGGAAGTCGGTGACTCTTCGCCAGATCCGGGATATACCAAACAGGGGAAGTCAAGTCAAAGGAACGGGGATAATCGACATAAGATACGCGCAATGTAGGTAATTTGTCGAGTGCACTGAATGGGGTTCGTAAAGACGCATTACGGTCGTATCAGGGTCCTAGGTTTGAGATTCGAGCTGACCTTACATCTTGGCTTTATCATTTTTCATTCCTTCATTGTTGGCAATCGTGCTTGGGGCTACCCCAAAATCGGCGGGAAGTTGTAGGCCCAATTCTCCTGTAACGATCACTCTGATCAATGCGTAATGATGAATTGCATGCAGGGAAGCAAACCATAGCTATTGAAAATGGCAAGATCCAGATGGTTCAATCTGAGACTGGAGCAGTCAACTTGGATTAAGGAGAGAAATCTAGAGGAAAGTAGTTGCCTTACCTCGCGACCAAAGGAAGTATGGAACTGCAGGGAATGAGGGGTAGTTGCCGACAAACGAAGTGGTAAGTCAGAAGATGGTACCTGTTGGATATGTTGATTTTGATTCAAAAGTCTTTCGCGGAGAGTGCAGAATTCTTGTAAAGCAACCGCTATCGACGCTATCGCACAAACAGCAGGTTCTACTGATTAGGAAAGTGATATACTCAAGGTACACCATTTGTGGCCAGGAGCCAACTTCAGGAGCCGGAACGATTGAGAACTATGGATGGACGTACTTTCCATCGGCATGTTTCTACCGCGAGAATCGTAGTTAACTTCGTTGTTTGGCGAAATGGCGGCGTCCAGGAGGATCCGGAAATGATCATGAAGGTGTCTAGCCAAGACGTATGCAATCAAAATGCCAAAATCGACATCTGATCAACATTCTTCTTTCGAGCTTCAAATGATGGAGATGGTCAATAAAGGAGATAGAAGGACTCGACACCTGAGATGTTTTCCAACTGTGCTGCCGGGGACGAGCGAAGAGACGGTGGTTAACTGAGCATCTGTTGCAAGAACATTCTGAAGAAGTTGAATCCCCGTCTGTAGCCAATCAGCCGCAACACTCCTGAGAACGATACCCTTGTCTGGGGATGTTGTCGGTATGTTATGATGCAATTCCATTGCGATGATGTTGTAAAGTTGATGCTGATTCGATGTCTCCTGGTGAAAAACTGTACCAGACCATCTCGATTTTCACCTTACGACACCGAAACACCGCGGTGCCACAGGCGGTAGACCGGAGAACCCGTTGAATGGCCTGATACACCGCTCGGTATGACCCGGCGGTGGGCTCTCGTGACCGGGGCGAGTCAGGCTTTAGTAAGTCACGGGGACATTACAAATTAAGGCCTCCACCCGGCCCGGCCCTCTGCCCTCTGCCCGCGGGAAGCTTGGGCGGGCCACGGGCTGCCCGGTATTTTTCTTCAAAAAAAAAAATGTAAGTCATTTTTCCGTTTTTCAGTTGGATTCCGTTTTTTAAGTTGAATCACCGATCTATCATCTCAGATATATTAAATATATTGTTTTATTTATATTGTAAGGTTTGTTACGATGGGATCAACAAAGAAGAGACACCCCAACGCAAGCCCTCCTTCCAGCTCCCAAACCAAGCAATCTCGTCTTGCTAATCCAAGAGATAGTACTTCACAATCCGTGATTGTTTTATCTGAAGCAGAATCAGATACTCCTCAGCTGCCTATCAGCGTCAACGTACAATCTACCAGTTCTACTCAATCCAATCTAACTAGTTGAATCAACTCTAGAACTGGCAGCAGAACCTCTTGGGTGTGGAGATACTTCAAGACTCAATTGTTTGTCAATCCAATCACCAAGGAAGACAAGAATACAGTTGCTATAGTCAAAGCTCAGCAACACTTAGACCGGTACGGGCCCCGGGGCCGGTACCGGTCCCAAATGTTGGTCCTTATTTTCCAGCTTCTCTAGCACGCATTGGGCAAGTGAATTACTTCCATATCTCACATTTTGAAATGAGAAACTTGAGTAAAAACTGACAGAAAGACAGATGATGGTCAAGATACTTTGAAAGAATTGCACATTATACCATTTGATCATTCCTCTTGAGTCTGCTTCACTGTTGCTTTGCCCAAAAAACAAGTTTTTTTTAAATATCATATCCGGCTCCTCCGTTATTTAAAAATAAGTTACAGAAGTCAATGGCCCTCAATAAAAGTCAAAAGGCTCAGCGCCAGCACCAGCAGAGAGAGCGGGACAATCAACTTGTAGCACAAAATTCACAAAGCAACACAGAACTGAATGGGATCAATCCGATAGAAGATATTGATGATGAAGATATAAACAACAAAGCTCAAGATCAAATTGATCAAAACAACTTACTTCTTCAGCTTTACAGCCTTGTTGCAGCGGACTCCTCAGATGAAGAACACTCTGATAACAAAATTGTTGAAAACAATCTTTGGCCGGTATTCTATGCACGGGATCGATCAAAACCGGTGATTGGAAAGCAAAAGAATAAAGCTTGCGGACACATCAAAGGCTACAGAAAGCCAATGGTCGACACTGAAAATCTGGAAAAGAAACTTAAACCAGCCCCTGTTTCGAGGCAAACAAAGCACAATTGGAAATTGAAACGCGAAAAAGCAGTTGGAAAGAATACTGCATTCCTTGGCAACTGGCTTGCCAAAGCCAATCCTCCTCCGCCCACAACAAAACCTCCAGTTGAAGAAGTTTGTGACGTAGATGTTCAAGCCGATGAAGAATCTAGCAACACAGACAATGATTGTGATGAATCTGATGGGTGCTCAAGTGGGGATTGCTCAGAAGAAAAAGAAGCTGAACGGAACTCCAGCAAATACAACACCCGGATTGATTTATGTGTGAGCCGGTATGAAGACAGCATTAAAACAAAATCAATAAAGCCCGATCTCAAGCAGCGCGTTGATGAGGAATGGGCCGAGCTTAACAAAGCCATTTTGGAAGCGTCTGTGATGTACAATTCAAAGCAGAAACATGATCCCAAGTTTTCCTATCCACATCTGGAACTTGGAGACCTTCGCGAGTTCAACTTGCTTTGCAAATAACTCAGTTTATCTGGTTCAAAATCTCCTTTGATCACTGCTTCTGTTTTGACCGCTTTGTCCTCAGCTCGCCAAATCAATAAACCACATCCCCAGTTGACTCCGGCAGAAGTCGTGCAAGAAAGATTCACTTTCAGGCCAATCACTTGATCAAGCACCAGGAGCTCTCATTCTCTAAAACTGGACTTAACTTGCCACATGTATCAATGCTTGATAATCATCAACTATTTGAGGCCTTATACTTATGGGCAACCGATCAAAAAGTTGGTTAGGTTAGTAACCATTTCTTAATTCAATTCGGATCTGGTGTTTTATTTTTGAATGATGTCTAACTGAACTTGTTTTTGTCAGGTTACTCCTTGAGCATGTCTTGAGCATTGTAACTCGACTGTTCTTCCAAGATTTTATCCTGGAAAACAAATAACTTTGGTAACCGCTTACCGCTGGATGTTTAAACTAGGATTCCGACCAAAAGAGTATCAAAAATCACTCTATTTTGATGGCCATGAGAGGCCTGATGTTGTGAAGTACCGTGGGGAGTTCATCAAGATGTATGAAGAGTATTGATCTTGCTCATATCAATATGATGGAAACAATTGTGAAACTGAGGTAAAGGTTACACCAGAAGGACGACATAGAACTGTCTTTTTGTTCCACAACAAATCCACCATACATGCAAATGAACGAGCTCGAATATTGTGGCTGTTGCCTCACACTTCTAAATTTCAAACCAAGAGTGTTGGTCGCTTAATCCACATCTCTGACTGGATCTTGGAATCTCATGGACGACTTCATCTTACACCCAAAGTTAACTCAAAGTTAGGAGTAAAAGTCGATCCTTTATTACCAAAAGACGCTGCCGAGGTAATCTATCCGGGTTCAAAGGGGGATCCTTGGTGGGATATGGAACAACTTATCACTCAGGTGAAAACCAAAGCAATCCCAATCTTTGAGGCGATGCACCCCAACTGCTGTGGTGTTTTTGTGTTTGATTGCTCATTGGCTCATGAGGCTTTTGGTTCCTCAGCTTTACAAGTCCAGAATATGAACTTAAACCTGGGTGGAAAACAAAGTAAACCACGTGATACAATCATTCCATCTGATGATCCTAGAATCCCAGCTGAACTCCGAGGGCAACCACAATCTATGGTGTTTCCATTGGATCATCCAGATCCCGAGTTCGCTGGAAAAGCAAAAGGTATGATCGTTGTCCTTGAAGAACGAGGTTTATGGAAATCTTACAATGAAGAGCAAAAGATTCTTGGAAAGCAGCCACTGAATGGCACTTGCCCATCTTGCAAGAAGTCTGGGGTAGCACAAGACGACCGATTTCAAAAGGATTGACTCATCAAAGAAGCCCAGGCACATGGATACTTTCTTGACAAGGATCTGCCTACAGAAGAAGTCGCCGCGACATCTCATCCAACTTGCTGTGCCACTCGCATCCTTTCTTTACAATCTGATTTCTTAAACAAGAAACCACTGCTTCACATGGTAATTGAGGAGGCCGGACATGTTTGTTTATTTTTGCCTAAATTTCATTGCGAGCTCAATCCAATTGAACTCTTTTGGTCTTTTATAAAGCAACGTGAGCAATACATATGTATCCTCATCAATATCCAATTGAACATCTACTAATAACAGCTCATGGTTTTGCTTTCAGAGTACCGTAAGGAAAGCCGTGAACGTCAAAGTTTTGAAGACACCAAGATACTGTTTGAATGAGTTCAAAAGTCCTGCCCAACGTTGGTTATCCGGCAATACTTTCAAAAGATAGATAGACAGATTGATGCATACGAGTAAGTTTTTATGATAAGATCACCAATTCCACTAAAACAAGACTGACTCCTTATCTCATTGTCTTTTAGAAAGGGTTTCACTGGAGAGAAAGCTGCCAAGTTGGTCAAAAAGTACAAATCACACAGCAAGACTCCCCATAATGCTCACTTGAAACCAGATGTGATTATTAACTGAGCTGTGTGTGAACTTTATACAAATACAAATGCATTTTGTCCATATCGTATGATTCAATATTTGCTTGACTTCATGTGAAAAGTGCAACTGCAGATGCGTGAACCACTTGAAGAGAACACAAGAAGCTTATGTACATACTTTAGGCCTTAGTTATGTACCCTAAGAGCTTAAGTATAAGCATAAATATACCTATAGGCAGGATGTCCCAAATGTGAGGGTCAAAATTAAAAAAAAAATTAAAAGTGGCTGGATAGCCTAGGCAAGCTAGTTTTTGATCAAGAAGCCTCTCCTCACTCCATATCCAGCTTAATTACAGGTGATTGAAGTATACCAAAGTGTTGAGTTGTGCTGTAATTTTTTGAAATTTACTTGCGGGCGCGGTGTTGCTGAACTTTGACTGTAGCGACTGTAGGACCATTTGCACCTTTCAGCTTGAGCCTGGGAAGGAGTGTGGAAGTAGTTATAAAGTTGATCTGACTCACAGTACAAAATCGATGAGTCGCCATCTTCTCAAGCACAGCCTTGATGAAGAATCACACATCAAACAAGGAGCCGTTGATATGCGCAAGTACCTTACAACTGGCCAAATCGCTCCAGTAAGTGCCTCAATTCTGAGTACATTGTTTCATTTCATTCGCATCTGACTTTCTTCTGCATATTTTCTACTTCATGTAAGAATGACAAGCTCTCGAGTACCACCTTCCGGTCTGCTATCTTACGCCTCATTGTCAATGAGGAACTTCCTTTCTCGTTAGTTGAATCTGAGGATCTACAAAACACTTTCCTGCTAGTCAATCCAAACATTCACCCTTATTTCTTTGGTTATACTACCTTTACCAATACCCTCAAGGCTCAGTTTATCAAAGGTCGTCGTTTACTCACTCAACACCTCAAGGACATTACTCACATCAATTTCACTTACAACGGCTGGAGTCAGCATAACAAATCGATTCTTGGAGTCACCGCTCATTGGCTTTCAAAAGACTTCAAGTTGTGTGAAGCCATCATTGGAATGAAGTTGATTGAAGGTCTGCATACTGGGGACAATCTTTGTGAACACTTGATTGATACATTGAAAGCATACAACTTAGTTGATAAAATATTTTGTCTCACTGCCAATAACACGTCTGTCAACTTGGTCATGGGAAGAAAATTGGAAGAAGCAGTTCCTCAATTTCATGCTGACAAACGACTTCTTGGGTGTATGGCTCATGTTATTAATCTGGTCCCTAAAGCTGGCCTCCATGTATTCTCCAAGAAATTAGGTGACAAAAATCCTTCACTCCCTCCTGCTCTTGCTGCTTGGCTACATCAAGACACCGATTGAGTCGCCAGCGCTCTAACTTGCCTGATTGGCTTTACCAACTATGTCAAAGCTTCTCCACAACATGTGGAGTCTTTTTCTCTTCTCATCAAGGGGATGCTCCCGGAAAAGGATCATGTCCGGCTTATCTGACAAGTTGACACCCAATGGAACTCCGATTGTGAAGCTCATGAGAGATCTTATTGACTCAAGGCTGCAATTGATTATCACACAAAACACGATTGTGACTATGCAAAGTTTGCTCTCACTGAAAGCAAGTGGGATTTGGTGGCCCAGCTTGTAGCTTTTCTCTCGCAACTTAACTCAGCAACAAAGATACTATCAGGTTCCAAATACCCAACAACTGCCAATGCTGCACCAGTCTATCAGTGGATTTTGGACAAGTTCAACAAGGTATGTGTCCAATACCTTCTTTTAAGTTTTAAGTCTTTACAAATCACTTAATTATCAAATTTGTGCTCCACAGGCCTGGAAAGGTAATGCGAATGAACCTCTTCAAGCAGCCATTGGACCTATGAAAATCAAGCTCCAGGAATACCATCAAGATTCCCTCAAAAAACCTGTTTATCAATTTGCTAAATTCCTTGATCCCTGGAGCAAACTCCTCAAACTGTCAACAAGGCTGCCACTATACTATACTATACTATACTGTGACTATACTTGGTATAGTATAGTTCAACTATACAGTACTTAAACTATACTCGGTATAGTATAGTGCAACTATACTCATCTATACTATACTATACTGTGCAGTATAGTTGAACATGCTGATGGAAAACTTGTGTAACCCTTGTCCATGTGTAGTTGATCAATTGATACTATACTGAGTATAGTTAAGAAAAGTATAGTTTCAACTATACTATACTGAGTATAGTATAGTACAATTTAAACTATACTATACCCAACTATACTCATACCAGTATAGTATAGTGGCACCCTTGCTGTCAACTTTAACAATTGATATGTCTGGTTTATACAATCGAGAGGAATTGCGATTGAAATTTGTTAAGGAGGCTGCAACTTTTATTCAAGATTTTGAAAATGCCAATGTTGTTGATAATCCTCAATCAGAACCAGAAGAAGATGGGCCGCATCGTTCCATCACACGAAAAAAAACTCACGGTTGAAGAAGAAGTCAAGATGTATTTTTCCACTGGACACGCAGATGGAAGTGTTGATCCTTTGGAATATTGGGGACTTCACACAGCTGAATTTCCGGTTCTGGCTCGAATGGCCTCAGCTTACTTATCTATTCCTGCTACCAGTACACCCTCTGAACAAGCATTTTCTGCAGGTGGGAGAGTGTGGACAGATGAACAAGCTACTATGGATCCGGTGAATTTTGAGGCATCTATTTGCCTCAAAAGCTGGGACAAGTTGTCCTTATTTCACTCAATCAAATCTACTTGAATATCTACTTAAAATTTTTTGTTATCTTTGTTTTGTTATCTGTTTTCTTGTAATTTCAGTCCAAAACAACATGTTTTGCGCTGAAATAATGAAATGAAACACACCTTCTGAGGACTTATTTGAGACACTTTGTCCCCGGGCTGGAGCGCGAAGTGCTCCCGAGCCTCATCTCTTTTTGTAGCAAATCGGGCTTGCCCTGCCCTGGCCCGCCCGCCGGGCAGCCCGTGGAATTGCGGGCCGGGTGCAGGCCTTATTACAAATTGACTCGGGTTGATCAAGGCACCAACACCCAAACCACTCCGGCGCAGGTGTTGGTATTGGATTGTTTTTGTGCCACCAATGCGACATCAGGAATGGAATCTTTTGTTATTGGTTCAAAGTGTTTTTAGTCACATATTTCTTTGAGAGAACCCATGAGGCACAATTTGGTTCAAAAGCCCAGGGGACTTAGTGGAGCTGAGGGGTAAGAGCTGGCGTGCAACATACAGAAAGTGTTGCTGAAAATTCTCAAAGTGGAAAATTTTCCGCCACTCTAATTGCTCAGTCATTTACCCCTCTTGCTTGGATTGATCAGTGCATCAATCCTCTAGTCTGCATTCTCTTCAAATAAAGTCTTGAAAAGTTAAATTCACTACATTATCAAGTAATATTTCAAATTAGGTGGAACAGCTTTTTTATTTTCAAAGAATTCACAATGTACAAATCTATGGAGGGAAGACTGGCAAGGGAAGAGGCAAGCTTAGAACAAGTGACTCAAGCTATGGAAGCAGAAGCTCTGCAGACAAACCAGACGGCGGCTGGAACTAGCGGAACATGACGCTTGAATGCAGGACTGCAGACAGAAACACAAGTACCAATGTCAACCCCCACCGGGGAAAACGGGGGGTACACAGCTGTGAAACTCGACACCACAAATGAAGATCCTCTTACTCCTGTGGCACCAACAAACCCAACCCCTGTGGTAGCAGGCACAGCAACAGCGGGCAGCCAGGCACCAGTGCCAGGCACTGAGTAAGAGATAGAAGAAGCAGATTTGGATGGATTCGCCATTCTTGATTTGTAGCTCAGACCAGAAACTGAGGATAGCACGTGGCAACTGGGAGACCATGTGGATAAAGGGAAGGATAGAACAGAAGACACCCCATCAGATGAGGAAGGTGGAATGCAGGATGATTATGTGAGACTAAGTAAGCATTTCCTTTTTTCTCTTCCTGCAAAGCAATGAGGCCATCTCCTTCCTATCCTTTTTGACTGCTCCTTTGTTTCTCTCCTTTATTCTGTGTACCAGAAAGGGGAAGCCATGACCCGGTATATGTATCAACACCTCATATGTTAGTTATGTTGGCATATCAGAAAAGATATGTGTGTGGCAGCACAGACATAAGTCCATGTGTAAGACCTAGTTGGGTGACACGGCCAAGCTGCACAGCTGATAAAAGTGGGGTCTTGTCAGGCTGTGACGTATTGCCACAAGGAGACATGTAGTTAGCCAAGAGGCGGGTGTTGTCAAATACGTGATCAAAACAAGCAAGACAAATTACATACACCGCTGTGTTGATCAGATTTAACTGTAACAGCTCAAGGTGACCGAGCAACCATGATGAAGGCAAAAGTCAAGGAGAAGTCATGGCTGATAGAGCTCTGCTGGAAAAATTGATAGTGACATTCAACAACAATCACAGAAGCAGCCATGCACCGGAAAGTGTTTGACAAAGGACCAAGTTGGACTCAAGCTCCAGCAAAGCGTACAACCCCTTACCGCCTGATACAAGAAAATGTATCAGAGTCCTCATCAGAATTTATGAATGAAGATAGAGGCTTACAACACATCAAGACCTGAGAGGTGACAAGAGACTGGTCCAAGACAAAACCACTCAAGAGAGGCTGAACACAGACCTAGGAGCCACCACCTTACACACATGCTTAACACCATCTACCAATTGGCACTGAGAATGGATAAGCCCAACTCCATCACCAAGGGCAGAAAGCCCAATCTCCGTGACTCAGGAGGACCTCCGAGGCAAAGAGACAAGAGCTAAAGCAATGCTAGAATTTGGGAAGGGTCAGATGGTGCCATCAAACAGCAATGTGATGGAGAATGGGAGGTTAATGCATAAAGACACAAAGAAGCAACTTCAGAAATCTTTACCTTCTCTGGGTCCGGTGCTATCACTTTACCTTTGGACTTTTAAAGCTTACATCCCCCCCTGCCTTCAACAAACTCTGGCTTGTGTGGGACCAACAAGTGAGAGAAGTAACAGAACCACTTTCAGAATCAAATATCAACAAGGGTAGAACAAATTTGAAAATGTATGGAGGAGACCCTCCAATAGACAAACTTACCATGCAATATAAGGAGTGGTTGGACTGTTTTAACCTCTTTTCTTGTTATGTAAAGGACACCGGTTGGATCACTCTGTCCAAGAACCTCTTAGTCCACAAGGATATTGTCATTTAATTTTGTTCCAAGCAGCTGCTGCTGATTGCATGTCCATTAGCCTTTACTAACATTGTGAGTAAAAAGTGAATTGAACAAAAACAGTTATTTGAATGGGTTTCACATATGTATAATTCTTTGAGTTGATTGTGAGATTGAAACTGCCAACTTCTCAGTATCCTGATTCACATTGGCTGACCAATGATGTTGATCTTCATCAATTCTGAAAGTGAATGTGAATGGAGATTTTGAATTGGATCAATTTGATCAATTAATGACACAAAAAATTGTGAACAGAGGAGCCCTTTGGTTAATCAGAACCAAGCCAACAAGGAAGAAGGAGAGGAATAAAGTGATGAACAAAATTCATGAAGGCAGGCCAGCTAAAGGATGTGGTATTTACAACACTTTTACTCCTTGCAATAAAGTACATCTATGGACATCTCACAGGTTGTCCATCTTGACATGCACTTGTTCCTCATAACCTTTTATATGTGTCCTTGAATACTCCTCCCATTCCGCACTGGACATACCCTCCCTTTTCAGCTTTGAAGCCTTCCCCATCCTTGCTAACCTGGAGGAGAGTTGGCATGAGGAGCCAAACCGGGTAATAAGGCTCTGGATGGTATGATGTCTATACCCGCTGTGGATTTGGTGGTGGACTTGGATGTTCCAGACAATCCCAACAACACCATTTGATTCATCAAACTTGACTCCAAAGCAGTAATTAGATAAACAAAATATGGCACCGTCTATGTGACAATCACAGGGGCTCTTGATTACATCATGCAAGGAGCCTGCTGACCTGTTGACACAAGCAAACATTTCAAATGAATAGGGTGTTGCATCTCTGTTGCAGTGGGGTTTGTTGTGGAAGTTTTCCCACGGAATGGCCACACCAGAAGCCCAAACCTGACTGTTTGCTGAGGTCTTCCAGGCAGGAGAATCAAAAGAAGGTAGATGTAAATCAGTGGTGATTTTTGAATTGGCGCAAAAGGTGGTCATAGATGTATTGAAAACTCTCTCTGCCCAAATATTTTTGGCACAAGATAGGAGGAGTCTGTTTCTCTCAACATCTAACCAAATTCTTGCTTTGGACCTGGATGTTACAGAGTTGAGAGAATATTGAGTGTGAGCACCAACCAAGGCACGACTTGGTGCGGAGTTCCATGTTTGGAATGTTGTGTACCGATGTAGAAGTTATGCTTGTAGCAGGAGATCACCCCCGCGGAGAGTTAAGCGCTAGAGAAGTGAAAATCAAAAATTTTCAAGCGCAACTCTCACACCAGTTTCAAACATAAACTCATCGACACAACTCAGCTCGAGTTCATCTCGAAGTGGCTATTACATTTTAAAAATACATTTGGTAGAAAGATACGTTGTAGCACAGGAGAAGTTCCTTAGTACAAAGAAGACCGACAGCGGACAAGCCAACCAAAAAGAAAACCAACAGAATGCCAACTTTAGAAGAAGAACTAGCGGAGTCAAGAAAACGAGCAGAAGAAGCGATGAAGACTGGAGCTCCAGGCCCGGGGACAAGGAGTATGTCACGGAACAGAGACGACCCATCAACGCAGAACACAAGCAACGAGAGAGTTCTGGCGCCAGAAACTCCAGAAGGGGCAAGTGGGTCGGGAACTGGGACTGGAGGCAAACAAGACGACGGACGGGGTGAGCAAGGGAGAGGACAAGCAGAAGCACAAGAGGATGGCAGGGACGAACCAATAGGCAGAATCAGGCTACGTTTGAATGGTAAGTCCAAATAGTCACATTTCACAGTACCTTTACCACCCTGGAAGGTTACGTCTGCATGCCTCAACCCAGGCATGTGAGAGAGCATCCGCACCTTTCTTAGACTATGATACAATCAAGTCGAAGGTTAATTTTTCACCTCTCCAGTGACACAAAGTGGTCAGAGAGAAGGTTTCGGGGAAACACACACCTATCACTACCCTCATTAACCCCATCCAAATCACCCGTGTTTCCTATTCACCTAGTAAACCACACATCCGCAAACCTTTCCTCACCTTGTAAATCCATGACGCGATCATGGGAAAGGTTGTGAAGAAACTGAGACAGAGGTTGACCAGTCAACTCTACCACCCCACCTTTGAGAAGCCAACATGGCCGAAGGTTACCCTTACCTTTGAGACAAAAGTCAGAGGTCCCAGTGGAAGCCAAACTAGCTGGAGGAGACCTAGAAATCAGAGGGTCAGGTCCAAACTTCAGTGTTCTATCTGTAACAGAAGATGAGGTCTCTTGTATCCGAAGAACCCTATTCAAAAATTTTTTCTTTCGGCCGTGATCGAACGTTTGGGAAGAGCCGAATAGAGACAGAGGCTGACGGTCTACGTAATATATGTCGCAGGCAATCCCCCAGCCCCGACGGGTGATAAAGACCGCGACATGTGGTGGAAGAATATTGTTGAGACATTTGCAAACGAGAATCTTGAGCTGGGTCAAACAATGCTGAACACGTACGAGATGATGTACGGCAAGCCTCCATACGACCCGGAGGACCTAATCGAGGCAAGGGTACCCCGTCGAGAAGGCCTAGGCCCTGGGCCTCAGATCGATCCGGTCAGAATCCATCTAAAACAAGCTAGACCTCCTAGGGATCAAGTCGGACAGCACCCCGAACTCACAGCCGAGAGAGGCAGGACAGAGGTGCGAGACCCGGTGCCAGAGACAGGTGAGGCAAGAGGTAGACGCCTGAGATCTGCGTCCCTGGTAGCAGGTGGGAGCGACTCAGACGACCCACCAAGAGGAGCGGTGAGGAGAGTGGTAGACGAGGTCACGCCTGCGAAGCCGAAACAAAAAGAGAGGGAGGTCCGCGATCTGGTGGATCCGGAAAGCGAAATCGTTTTCGTAGATAAAGAGTTCTCCAATAAAAATCTTCTACAACTGTCTCACGGTATAAATCAGAGTATGATCAAGTTAAAAGCTTATGTCCCGTTGACGGTGTTCAATATGGAATGGATTGATAAATATACGGTGAAGGCGGCCACGAAGAAACCGAAATCTGTGAAGGAGTTACAAGACGGGGACGAGTCAATGACTTACACCGGATCAACGCCAAAAGACAAGCTCTTGATGACCTACGGGGAATGGATTGATGCCATTGACCTGTTCATCAGATATGTGGGGGAGCACTATCACATGGTGACAGTCGCTAAGATGCTCAAACAGCATAAGGAAAATGTTATCGAGATTTGTCGATCAACTGCCTGCTGGATGATAGCGCTACGCTATTGTATGAAAGTGATCAGGAAAACACCCCTCCCCTCTCTCCTTTTTGTATCCCGCGGCACCTGTTAGGTCTCGCTCGAGGCAGGTGGAAGGTAGCTTACAAAGATCCTGTTCTGGTTTGTCCAAAGGTGAGACGCCTTCTCATGCAAGTGGTGATAGGCGAATCGCAACGGCGAGAGATGTGTAATGCAGGGTGTTTACACGAAGACGTCTTACGGGCCGTGAAAGACTTGGTCGATGCTAAAGGCGAAAGGAGCTTTGCGGATAACCCATACGCGCAGGGTCAAAAGGTCCTAGAAGAAAGCCATTTGGAAAACCCGAAAGGGGTGAGTTCGGACAGGCGCCAGTCAAACTCGAGCAACCTGAACGACAAGAAGCGCGGAGGAGATAAGGACGGAGGTAGCTGGAGAGGAAGGAATAAGAAGAATAAGAGTAATTGGTGGCAAGCTTGTCAACAAGCGAGCTACGGAGGGGTGGCGGCAACTCAAGTAGCGGGTATGGGACGTACGGGGCGAACATACCGTATCAACCAGCTGCGTATGCACAGACGCCATACAAGCCGTATTACCACCATAACGGAACCTGGTTGGACTACGGACAATCAGGAGGTAGCTCCAATACCCAGAATCAACACGGGTCCGAAAGTTCCAAAGGAGCGGGTGGAGGTAATGCTGGAAAAGGAGGTGCAGGAACAAAATGGTGAGCGTGAACATCCTGCAGTCACTTTTCTAATTCCAAATTCTGAACTTTGGTTCCAAAATTCTGGCATAATACCCTATCTCCACCATTCTGTCCGAAT